TTAAAGACAGTTTGAAGCTACTGCCCTGAGAAAGCTGGTATCAGTCTTACCAGTTAGTCTTTCAGTTGGCATCTTTCTCTTGAACATTCAGTATTATGTCTTTGTTCTGTAGTCCTGGCTTTTTAACTACAGTGATATTAAGTGATTCTTTCCTAATCATGACTTTTCGGGGTTCTAAATAACTCTTGTTTTTGGATACCCTCTTTCCCTGGATTGAAGGGTTTTCCACTATATTTCTCACTGAATCGGTTTTCTGTACCTTCCATTTGTATGCTAACCTCTTTTCCTCCCTATTGGTTCCCTATTTGGTTTTGTGATTGTGCCTAAGAATTCCCACAAGTTATGGCCATGGTTATTTGTTCTTTTACTGGTCTCTGAATATAAAATCTCTTCACCAGGTGGTGATAGCTCACACCCTTAATCCCAGCACTCAGAAAGCAGAGAGAGGCAGGCAGATCTCTGTGAGTCCAAGACCAGCATGGTCTACAGAGTGAGTTCCAGGACAGCCAGTTCCACACAGAGAAACACTGTATCAAAAAAAAAAAAAAAAAAAAAACTCTTCAACCTCATGTTAAATTCCTAATATTTTTTTTCTTGGTCTATTGGTGGTTCTTTCTTTCCATTGTTCTCTTTTTGATATACTGAGTTTTTCATTTCCAGTATTTCTATTCAGCTGTTTTGTTTGTTGTATCAGCTTTCTTACTAAATTCCTCAGTGTTGCTGACTTTCTTGCCCAGGTGCTAGGATGTGTTTTTACTTCTTTATCTGCTTGTCTGAAACCACTTTAGTGTCACTTAATTTTCCTATTAATACTTTGGCATATCAACTATGTCATATCTTTGATTTAGTAGTTGAAGAGTCATGATCTTCTGCAGGAGTGACAATGCCTTGCTTTTTCATACGTCTTGTGTTTCTGAGCTGTGACTTGCTTGTCTATTGAGATATTTGTCTCTTCCAATTTTAGTGTGGAGTCTTCCTAGTCTTTCTCTTTTAAGGTTTAATCCCAAGTACCACTCAGAGAAGAGAAAACAAACTATTATAACAGCAACGAAAAGCCAAACCAGATAAAGAAACATAATTAAATTCAGTTAAAGCTAACTGCCATGCCACCAATAACTGTAGAGAAGAAAGTGGCAAACAAATGATACAGGTAGAATAAGCTGTGAAGGTACCATGATGAAGGTAAGCAATAAAGCATGTATATAATAGCAATGAAATAAAGGAAGGAGACAGGAACAGGGAAAAAAAGAAGGAAGCTTAAATAAAAGAAGACAAGAAAAGACAAAGGTGAGGAAAAGTGAGGGAACAAGAAATGAAAATCTAAACAAGAAAGAACGATTTGTAAATAATATTAGACAGGGTTTGGGATGAAAAATACAGCTTTCTTAAAGTAAAATAAAATAAACAAGCCTGAGCTGGTGAGAAGGCTTGATGCAAACCTAGAAATCTGAGTTTTATTCCTGGAACCTACACAGAGGTGGAATAGAAAGCCAGCTCTGCAAAACTGACCTCTGACCTCCACGTGCGTACACACACACACTCGCACGCACACACGCTAACCATTTTTAAAGATTTGTTTTAATTTTTTAATTATGTGTATAGATGTGTATGCGTACGTGAGGGCAGGTGCTCAGAGAGGCCAGAAGAGAGTGTTGGATTCCTAGAGCTAGAGTTACAGGTGGCTGTGAGCTGCCCAATGTGAATGCTGGGAACTGGGAGTCCTCTGCGAGAGCAGTATGTCCTCTTAACTGCTGAGCTCTCCCCAGCCTCCAACAGCCCTCCCTGACCTCTGTTTTGTTTTGTCTTGTTTTCGAATTTTGCAACATATGTAAATGAGGCTTTGCCCTCACCTCATACCACCCCAGTGGGGGGGGGGGGCAGAGCGTGGGCTCGAGCTTAGGCTCATGCCTGTTCCCTCTGCCGCTTGTCTTTCTCTGTCACCTCATTTCAGGAGTCGCGCTGCTCTTCTCTCTTCCTCTCTGGAATAAAATCCGCCCTCCCTTACCGTGACATTTCTCCTTCACAGTCACACACAGGCGGCTTCTAACATGACACCTTATTCAGAAGTCTAATTTTCAAGAGATCTCGATTTCGTTCACAGAATCGTCGTCCTCTTTCATGTCCCCCTGGGTGCTAGGGAAAACCAACATATTGTCTTCACTTTCCCACTTGAGTCACTGCAGAAGCCTGTGACCTTGGAGGCGTGGGGGCGGCTCCAACATCAGGCAGCTCTGAGGCTGTAGGCCCCAGCAGGGTTTCCCCCAAACCTAGGAGGCTCTGACACTCACCAACGGGTGGCCGGCTGCCTCTGTTTCCACAGGCTGGGCTCAGTTCCCAGGCTGCCTGACCCCTTCAGATACTGTCACAGCCCCAGCTGTCATGGCGGATCCCCGACCAATGGTCTCAGATCGGGACTCCCACAACCACCCCCAAATCTTCACTTAATTTTCTCAAGCAGCTAAGGGAACTCAGGGGAGGGGAGCGGGGGCGACTCTCTTGAGCCTATTCATTTGTTAGAAGAGAAACTGAGAAGCGCACAGTTGGAAAGATGGTGAGGTGTGGGGAAGGACGGAAGCACCCCTCCCCCTCTGGGTACTCTCAATTTCCAGAAACTTCTTCGGGTTGAGCTGTCAAGGAATCGGTGAACTCTGACCTTTTGGTTCCTGTGCAGACTCTATTTCGTGTGCAGTGGTGGCTGGGGGCGGAGGGGGGGGTTGCCAATCAAGGGCTGTCTGCTCAGGTGCTCAGGTGTTTGGCATTCCTTTTTCCAGGGCATTGGGCAGGAACTCTCTGGAATAAAGAGATCATATGACCCACCATGGGACTAGGCAGATCTGAGGGTCTCTAGGACCCACTCCAAGACAAAAAAGGCAGGGAAAAAAAACAAAAAACAAAAAAACAAAACAAGGGCTCTGCAGCCTGCCTTGGCGAATGTGATAGTTCACCCTCTCGCTTGATATGTCTGGGAACAGGGAACCCAGCTGAGGAACTGCTTCCATCAGACTGGCCTGCCCTGCAGTCTGTGGGGCATGCTCTTGATTGTTAATTGATGTAGGAGGCCTAGCCCCCTTTGGGCAGTACCATACCTAGGTAGATAAGACGGGGCTGTGTAAATAAGGTAGCTGGCTGTGAACCTGGGAGAGAGCCAAGCAGTATTCCTCCATGGTTTCTGCTTCAAGGTCCTGCCTTGAGTTCCCGCTTTGGCTTCCAAACATGGCAGACTGTAACCTATAAGGTGAAATAAACCCTTCCCTCCCCAAGTGTTTCGGTCCTGGTGTTTATCATGGCAACAGGAAGCAAACCAGGACATGGAAGATAATTTTGTGCCCCACCTTAGGGAGAGGCCTGTGAGCAAGGAACCATGGGTAAAAACAAAAGGTGCATCTTGCACCATGCACTGCTTTGTGACATTCAGAGACGTCATCTCCTCTTCTTGTTCTGATGACATCAGTTTTCACTTTTTGTTTAGCCTGAGTACCATGTCCCTGTGCACACGTACGTGGAGGCCACAGGTCAACTTCAGGTGACATTCTTCTGGAGGACGTTGTTTCTTGAGAACACTGTCTCTCACTGGTTAGGTAAGGCTGGCTGACCAGCCAACCCTAGGGGTCTACCCATTCCTGTCTCCCCACCGCTAGCATGCATCACCATGCCCAGCTTTACACGTGGGATACCATGAATTGAACTCAGGTCCTTGCACTTACCACAGTGAATGCATTACCAACTGAGAGGACTCTCCTGCCCTCAGAGTTTTACCCGATGTTTTTGTCTGTATTCAGCCTCTGGCTTCTCCTTTCAGCTGTTTCTGGGTTGTACTGGGTAGCACGTTGTATGGTTTCCTCCCGGTCATGCCCAGAACTCTGCACAGTATGGCTTGTTTTCAAGCCTCTTCACTGCTTACCCCAGTTCCAAAAGTTAAGGAGCCAAGACTGCCCTTGCCTCCAGCTTGGAGGGTATGGTGCCCAGTGAGAAGGACCAGATCCCATTGCTCCCTGCTGCTGGCAGAGCTCTAGGTTTTCAGTTCCATTGTCCTTCAGTTCCTGCCTTTTAGAATATGATTGCTGTTGCTCCCTCTTTTTAATCTCCTAAATATAGTTTTAGATGAGGGACTTATGTTTTTGGTTTTGTTGTTGTTGTTGTTGTTTTCTTTTTCAATCGCAAAATCAGATTCAATCCAGTGTGCTAACAAGAGGCCCTCACAGCCGTGCCTATAATAAGCCGTAAGTGGTGTATTGATTTCATACGACAATTTCCTGCATCGCAGGGAGAGCAGGAGGCGGGGGGGTGGGGGTGGGGGGAGTATCAGCTCAGACATCTACCCCTACAGATGCTGCCAAACCCTCAAATGTAGTCAGGCAGCTGTACCCTGCTGGAACCACCTCTCTCTAACCCCGCCCCAGGGCACCCTGAGTGTGTGGGAGCAGGTTTGGCAAAACGTAGCTTGCTGAGAAGAGCCAGCTGAGCTGCAGGTACTGGGCTCCTAGCTGTCTGGGAATGAGCCCCATGCCACAGACAGGTAGCTGGTGGAGCTTTACAAACACTGGCTGTCCAGGCTGAGGTCTTAAGGTGGAAATATGGGCACTGACCAAAACTCACGGTGACAAAGAATTAGTGGGTATGATTGATGTCCTAAGCTGCCTGGGCTCCATGGGGAAGGTAGCTTCAGCCAGAAGGCCTATGAATGGGTGTCCTGAAAACAGTCTTGGGGGTGGGCTTACAAATGAACATAGATTTGAACAGAGCAAGCAGAATTGGAGTTCCAGGCAGGGTCAGAGTAGTAGCAAAGGCTAGGGAGCAAAAAACAGTACCTGTGTTCTGGGACTCTAGAAAGCCAGCATCAGGAGACAGACCATCTCAGGCTATCTTAGCCTGTGCTCCATTCAAAAGATGGCTTGGTGAAGCCGATACATGTGGAATTATCCAGCTTGGTACAGACCACTGTCACCCTGTTCCATCTGTTCCCACTGCCCCCTGACCACTGTTCCTCCTCCCCCACCCAGGAACTGGATGATATATATCAAGATGCAGCTAGCAATGTGTTACTGGCCCTCTGCTGGCATTCATGGCCAGCAGTGGCCAAGCACTTGGAGACGGAGTTCCTGACGGGTGTCTTCCCACACCGCAGCCTACTGTATGTGATGGGCATCCTGTCCTCTCAAGGTATGTGCTGCCATAGGGTGGCTCAAGGGCTCTGCAATAGAAGGAGACCTGGAAAGGCCTATGGGACCACCCTCTCCTCGTGGCTATGGCATGGTTCATGCAGGCTGAAGCCCTAACCCCCTGCAGTCCAACAAACCCTCTCAATGACTCTGATATTCATGTCCCCACAAACCCTCAGTAGCCCCGGCCATTCTAGGGACCTTCCCATGGAGGGGGAAAGAACCTCCATACCACTGTCTGATAGAGTCATGTTGTTAGTCGTGACAGGACAGGAGTTGGCCCAGACCCTGTGAGGCTGTTACTCTACCCAGACACCCACGCTGGCTATTTCATGGTCTCCCTTGGCTGCATAAGGCAGATGAGAATCCCAGATCAAAGAAGTAGTTTTGATGGCTAGGGTCACCCATGTTGCCTTACCTCAGACCCTGGGCTTCTGCCTACTTCATTCATTCACTCTTTTCATAAGCATGTGTTATCCTTAAAAGTGCCAGTTGGGAAGGTGCTGGCTGTGACCGGGCCAGTTGCCCAGAAGGCCACTAGAGAGGCTTCCAGTAGGAGGTTGCCAGCGTGAGCCACACCTAGCCAGGCCCTGGGAGCAGCAGGTCAGCAGCCAGTAAGGTCAAGCAGGGAGGAGAAGCAGGGGCTCCAAAGATAATTCTGGAGAGTTTGTGCTCAGGCCTGGGACAAGGCAGGATATGGTTTAGCTCAGCCTGTCCTTCTCCAAATTGGCAGGGTGGGTGGGGGCCCTCCTAATGCAGAGGGATCCCCAAAAGCCCTCCCTACATGGTAGAACTTCCAAACTTCCTAAAAGGTTTTCCAGCCCCATAAAGTGTCCCTTCCCAGCCTTACTCTTCCATACTTGAACAGACCACAGCACATCCCAAAAGGCCCCTCCATTTACCAGTGAAACACGAGGTCCAGAGAAGGCAAACAGCCTGCCTGGACACGGCATGCAGGCAGTGCCAGAATTCCAGCCCAGCTCTCTGGAGACTGATCCCCATTCCAGCTCATGTTCTTCCTGCTGGAGGCTGTCCTACCCTCCCCAATTTTCTGTGGATCAAACAGGAAGGAGCAGGCTGGTATCTGAGGGATGTGCAAGACCTGGCCTTTAGCACAACCCCTTTTCCCACAGAGGATTTTCTCAAGAAAGAAGACAGAGAGAGCTGGAAAAGTCTGATTGCCCAGGTACAGAGTGAGCCCATCACCCCAGGCCTTCTGAGGGACAGCAACAAGTGAGAGTCAGCAAGCTGACTGTTGTGGCCTTGGAGGAAGAGGGAAAGGGGGAGGTGGGGAGAATAAAGGAGTGGGAAGGGGGAAGGGGAAATAGGGATGGCAGGGAGCGGGGGAGGCAAGAAATCTTCCACTCACAGATGAGCACACAGCATAAGGGCAGGATTGGCTTGACCAAGGTCACTGGGGGAGTATTTTAATCTTCGTCTCTAGACACTTGGCACAGAGCAGATGCTCAACCCAGACAAGCTCATGCCACTCACACTTGGGGGACTAGAAAAGACACAAGAGCCGGAGTGAAGATCTGGGAAGAACAGAGATAGGCTGGGGTAGACTAAAGATGGGACATCCCCAGACGCAGTGTCAGGGCAGGCCCATCTCTGACCTTCTCCCAATTGAGGAGCTTGTACCAGGTTCGAGTCCAAGGTCAACTACTCACAACTGTGGCCTGAGCTGACTTCCCTTACCTCTCTGTTGTTTAGTTTGCTCATCTGTGAAATGGGGTTAGAGGTGGTTGTGCAGGTCCTGTCCAGTGCAGAACACGAGGGGCCCTGTTCATTGCTGATTGTCGGCAGTGTGACAGGTAGCAGACAGAGAAGCAGGAGTGGGTTGCAGAAATGAAACAGAGCAGCAAGAAATAAATCACTGAGGACTGGAAGACCAGAGATATTGTCAACCACATCCATCTGACTGGCCATCCTTGCTGCTATGAATAGGACTTGCTTCTCTCCAGCACACACTGGCTGTGTTTCAAAAATCCAATACATTTAAAGGGTCTAAAACCAAACAGAAGACTTCTATGACCAAAATTTAAACTAGAGGTCAGTGTTAAAATACATCTGAAAGCATTCCAAATGCTTGGAGATTAAACCACTCACTTCTCAGTAAAATGTAAGGGAAAGGCGTCTGAAGGAGAATTAGAAAATATTTTTAAGTGAGTATTAATGAAAACATATTTGAACATCCTGCAGTACAAAAAGCTTTTTATAGTAGAAAGGGCTTAAAACCTCACTGTTAGAAGCTACTGATAAAGAACAAACTAAACTCAAAATGAACAGAAGGAAAGGAAAAAATAATGCACTCAGAATGCAGAGGCAGGAGGGGTGTCCTAAGTTTGAGGCCAGCCTGGTCTACATAGCAAGTACAAAGAAAAGAAAGCAAGTTAATTAAAAAAAAAATCACTATACTTATTAAGAGGAGAAAAATGGTCACTTTCAACACAGAATAATTAACAACTGCACAAACACTTTAGGCATTAAAGGATTCTCTGCAAAACACAGATTATCAGAACTGAAACAAGAAGAAACAGAAGGTCTCAATAGTCCTGTGTAACAATGTGGAATCTTCCTATTCCAAGCCAAGCCCATTTTGCTGGCTGTACAGCCAGCATGCCAGTCACTGACATGCTTGCAAGGGCAAAGAATTTATTCATTAGCTGCCCAGCAAGTGGACACACCAAAGTAGATCTGAAACCCACCTCCAAGCCTGGGGAGAGGTGACTGGAGGTGTCACCCCAGCCAGCTGATGACGACTAAGAGCACGTGAGGTCTGAAGGGACCCCCCTAAGGTCTATTCAGGACCCCAGTGGGCTTGTTTGGGTTTTCACCTGACTTTTGCTTCCAGCGAAGAAAACTCCCAGTTTTACCTGGGGGAGTCCAGCAGAGTTGTTCTGTGGATCCCGAGAAATCCTGTGGAGTTGTTCTGTGGACCCTGCACGCTCCTACAAAAAGTGCACAGCAGCCATACTTACTCTAGCCTCAAAGTGGAGACGCGTAGGGCTGAGCAGAGCAGCGTCTACAACCGGAGATCGGAAGCCATGACCCAGTGTCCACCTTAGGAAGCCAGACAAGGGGAAGCCACCTGAGCTCAAAGCAATTAAGAACAACCGAGTTTTTTTTTATATATTAATCACAGGTTATTTACTTTGTATCCTAGCCATAGCCCCCTCCCTCATTCCCTCCCAATCCCACCCTCCCTCCCTTCCTCATCTCCTCCCTGCCTCTTTCCAAGTCCACTGATAGGGAAGGACCTCCTCCCCTTCCATCTGACCCTAGCTTATCAGTTCTCTTCAGGACTGGCTGCAATGTCCTCTTCTGTGGCCTAGCAAGGCTGCTCCTCTTGGGGGGGGGGGGGTTGAAGAGCTCGCCATTGAGTTCACGTCAGAAATAGTCCCTGTTTCCCTTACTAGAGAACCCACTTGGATACTGAGCTACCATGAGCTATATCCAAGCAGGGGTTCTAGGTTATGTCCATCCATGGTCATAAGGATGACCATGGTTATCCTTATTGGTTAGAGAAACAGTCTCATGAAAGACCCTGAGCCCTGATATATTTGGTTCTTGTGGAACTCCTGTCCTCTCCAGGTCTTACTAACTCCCCCTTCTTTCATATGATTCCCTGCACTCTGCCGAAGGTTTGGTTATGAGTCTTACTATCTGCTTTGATACACTGCTAGGCAGAGTCTTTCAGAGCTCCTCTGTGGTAGGTTCCTGTCCTGTTACTTGTTTTCTCCTACATCCAATGTTCATCCCATTTGTCTTTCTAAGTGAGGATTGATCATCTTACCCCGGGTCTTCTTTCTTGTTTATCTTCTTTAGGTGTATAGATTTCAGTATATTTATCCTATCTTATAGGTCTGCATGAGTGAGTATATACCATGTGTGTCTTTCTGCTTTGGGGATACCTTACTCAGGATGATCGTTTCTAGGTTCCACCATTTACCTACAAATTTCATGATTTCCTCATTTTTAATTGCTGAGTAGTATTCCATTGTGTAAAAGTACCACAATTTCTGTATCCATTCCTCAACTGAGGGACATCTGGGTTAAGAACAACCAAGTTTTAAAATTAAAAAAAAAAAAAATCCAGTTTGCTGCAGGGAGCAGCATGGATACATCCCAGAAATGCTCACTTAGTAAAAAAAAAAAAAAAAAAAAAAAAAACATCATGCACACACACAAGAACACACACTGAAGGACTCTAGATTTATTTATTATTTATACAGTGTTCTGCCTGCAAGCCAGAGAGGGCACCAGAGCTCATGATAGATGCTTAGAAGCCACCATATGGTTGCTAGGAATTGAACTCAGGACCTTTGGAAGAACTGTCAGTGTTCTCAACCCCCGAGCCACCTCTCCAGCCCTGATAGACTCTAAATACATACAATTGCAGGAAAGTTGACACTAATTTAGCATCAGAAAGGGTCATGCTGGAGGTGAGTCTTGGCAGCTCTGTGCCAAGCTAGGAGACATGTGAATCCCACAGTTCTAATGTATGTTCCGATCCCTTGCACGCTGCACTGTGAACCTCACTGTAGGTTAACTAGGCCTGAATGTTTTAAATGAGGAGAAAGCTCTGTGAGTGACGGTGCTTGCAGCAGCCCTCATGACCCGAGTTCAGTCTCTAGGATGCACATGAGGGAGAGGACTGACTCCCTCCTGTTGTCATCTGACCTCACGTGCCATAGTCTATGTATACACACACAGAGAGAGGTAATGATGTCATCGTAGTAATAACTGATAATAAGTTCAATGCATTTTTAGTTCGTTTTAATTGTATGTCTGTGGGTTTCCTACCTTCATGTATGTCTGCGCACCATGCATGTGCAGTACCTTCAGAAAAGGGCAATGGATTCTCTGAAACTGGAGTTACAGATGGTTGTGAACCACCAAGTAGGTGCTGGGAACGGAACTCGGTTCCTCTAGAAGAGCAGCCAGGGCTCTTAACCGCTAAGCTGTCTCCCCGACCCATATGTCTGTGTGTGTGTGTGTGTTGCATATGTGTTATATACACATATGTAACATATATATATGCATGCATAACATATAATACCTATATAATATATATAGTATAGACTATATATATTAATCGAGACTAAATGGGCTTTGAAGTTTCAAGTGTTTAGACTTTTCTAAGTGAAATGGTGCCTGCCCTATACAATCCCTAGAAGCTCTGAAGAGAGTGTACAGCGCACACACGGACAGAAGCACTAGCAATGCCTCAGTTGCAGAGACGGTCGGGTATGCACAAGTCCTAACATCTACGCCATATCACCTTGGGTCAGACTGGGCCACACACGGAGGAGGCTCCAGAGCTACAGGGAGGGAAATGCTGGATTTTATGGGTTTTGAAAGTTGCATTGCAGGCAAGAGGCTCTGGTGCCTAGCACAGTGAGCAGACAGAAGGGAGTGGGCGAGACCGGAATACACACACACACACACACACACACACACACACACACACACCTGCTTCTGGGTAACCCGGAAGCTTCCCAGGGACCACAGCACTGTGGAATCAACCTGACATCTGTTCTGTATCCTAGAATGCAGGGAGAGGACCAAGGGCAGGGCCCAAGCCAGATAAGCAAGATTTTTATTAGGCTCTGCCATCTGTGGAGAGCAATTTCTATGTCTGGGACGGAAGACTAAGGCTAGGAATAACACAGTCTTCCCTACAGGGGGTGCTCTAAGGCTTCTGCCCTGCAAGACACTCCCCCTTTGGTTCACAGTGTCTCTAATTCAGGACTTCTTTAGGATAAAGCCCTGAACGTTTAGTTGCTTAGACAAACATATTTTGGGTTTTGATTGATGTCAATATTGCTTTTTTTTTTTTAATTTCAGTTTCCAAAATGTTCACACATGCACATCCAAAAAGCTGTCAGTTCAATCACCCTGCTACCAAAGAACACTTCTTTTCAGTTACAGATCTGTTGGGCATTTTTCAGTGCTGTGCAAACGGGGCCTTGAAAGAGACAGTACTTACAAGCTGTGTGGGGCTGCTGCCTGCTGACACTGTTGTACAGAGCGGGTTTTTTTGTTTTGTTTTGTTTTGTTTAATATATAAGCAGGAAGTATACTCAAATAACGATCAAAGGTGGAATGGATACATAAGCCAGCAAGAGTCATTTATCATGATCAAGGAGTACAAACCACACCATAATTGTGTGTGTCGGCTTTGACAGGACTGGTGGCGCATAAGCCTGTTCCTCACCACGTTATCACAAGAAAACACACGAGCAAAGACACCACGACAGCTGTACTAGAAATCTCCCAGCTCCATTTTAACTCAGTGGGACATTGCCTATGGCCCGCAGCTGATGGAAATGACTTTATGCATGCACTCTTGTCCCAACTTACATGTTACTTTAATTTCCATTTTTTTTTTCAGTATTCATTATCTACTTATTTGGGGTAGATTGTAGAGCATTATGTGGGTGTATCTGTGTTCAGACCCATCTGAACAAGGCTGGCTGACTAGTAAGTTCCCAGAATCCACCTGAATTCACACCCTGCCACCCACACTATGTTACATACACATGCAACAATGCCTGCCTTGTTTGTTGTTGTTGTGTTATGTTGGGTTGGGTTGGGTTGGGTTGGGTTGGGTTGGGTTGGGTTGGGTTGGGTTGGGTTGAGCTGAGTTGAGTTGGGTTGTTTGTTTGTTTGTTTGTTTGTTTGTTTGTTTGTTTGTTTTTATGTGAATTCAAACTCAGGTCCTCAAGTTTGCCCAGCAAGGTCCCTTAGCCATTGCCTCAGCCTCTAATTTCCACTTCTTAAACACCAGCAAGGTTGAGCTTATGCCATCTTCATCGTATGTTCCCTTTTGCCATTTTCAAATGGATTATTGTAGTTATTTTTCCATTATTGAGAAGGGACACTATGACCAAGGCAACTTGTAAAAGAAAGCATGTAAATAGGAGTTTGCTTGCAGTTTTAGAAGGTCCATGACCATCATGGCAGGGCACATGGTGGCAGGCAGGCATGGCACTAGAGCAGTAGATGAGAGCTTACATCTAGTCCACAAACAGGAGACAGAGAGAGAGAGAGAGCAAACTGGAAAATTGTGGGCTTTTAAAATATCAAAGCCCGCCCTCAGGGACACACCTCTGCCAAAAAAAAAAAGAAAGGCGCACCTCCTAATCCTTCCTAAATAGTTCCACCAACTAGGGGCCAAGCATTCACATATATAACCTGTGAGGGACGTTCTCATTCAAACCACCACATTCTATTCCTGGTCCTCACAGGCTTGTAGCCATATCATAATGCAAAATGCATTTACTCCAAATCCAAGAGTCTCCATAGCCTTTCACAGACTCAACACTGTTGAAAAATACAAAGTTCAAAGTCTCTTTCAGGGCTCAAGGCAATCTCTTAATTGTAACCTACAAAATCAAAAAGCAAATTACATACTTCCAAGATGCAACAGCACAGACTATACATTACCATTCCAAAAGAGAGGAAAGGGGACATCTCATTCGCTACTGTATCTTTCAACTTAATTTGCATTTTTGAACAAATTTTTTGAACATTCATCAATATTTTCTAAGATTTGGGGGTTAGAAAGGGTGTCCCTAACACCAGAAGAAGGTTGGGAACAAAAACCTCCGGCTGTTGACTTGTGGCGTCTGGGAACATTGGAAATGGAGCTCTTGTAACCATTATTACAGCCATCCTGTTGAGCTAGGTGGGAAGTTCTACAATCATGTATTTAGAAAGGCTAGTTACGTTCATTCACTTGATCACTCACTCATGTCATTAGAAAACGGGGGAGCACCTACCACAGGCTGGCACCATGCCAGGCACTGAAAACACACTGGAAAACAGACTGAGCCCCGCCTATGGTGCCAACCCTGTCTCCGAGCCACTTTCACTGGCACTGAACATGTCTGGGCTGAGACCTCTCAGCTCATGTTGGGACCGTGGCTAGATGCTACAGTGCAGCCCCCCACCCAGGCTTTGTGGATATCCTGAGAACATCTAGGAGTACCTTAAGAAATGTGTTCCCCAACTCTGAGATTCATCCAACAAGAAAAAGTGATGAGTCCTGGAAACCTAAGGGTGGGAGGGACAGAGGGTGATGGAGCCAGGGCTCTTGGGCTGGGGGTAAGTGCCAGCCCTGCTTACCCCACCTGCTCACAGATGGCCAAGAAGTCGGTGCCATTCCTGAACACAGATGTGTGGTCCAAGGAATTGCTGTGGACCCTCACCAAGTCTGGCTGGATGCAGCAAGAGCATACCCCAGAGAAGGTAGGCCCCACTGCCCATAAGGGACCCAACATGTTCACCACACAGGCCCATAGGCTCTGTCATAGGACAAACAAGGCCCTTGAACAACGGGGCCTTCGGTGGGTCTAAAGGGAGCAGGAACTTGGCCTGGGCAGCTGAACTAGAACTGTCTCCCTTCCTCACCACAGTCTGGAGTTTAGGCTATCCTGGGCAACATAGGAAGGGTGGCCTCAGGGTGAGGGAATCCAGGGAAATTGGTCATAGGAGCTCAAGCTGGGTAGGTCCTGCAACAGGATGTTGAACCCCACCAGGACTTCCTGTTCACCTACTACGGGCTAATCCTTCAAGCTGAGGACAACAGCACTACCATAAGGACGCACCTAAAAACCCTCTTGGAAACATCTCACCAGTGGCCCAAGCAGAGGGAGGTGAGGACCCAATCAGGGCAGGTGAAGACCCAAGCAGAGGGAGGTGAGGGTACAGTCTCCTTTAATCCTCTGTCCAGCCCAAACCACAGTTTTGGTCATGGTTACATACTAAGCCCTAATCCTCGTCATAAACTGAATTGTGCTGGTCCCTTACCAATCCCTGATTTCCATCATGCAGAGCCCTGATCCTCATCGCACACTGTTCCTTGATTCTGTCGCACACTGAGCCCAGACCCCGTTTGTATTTAGCCTCGTCCCTAGTCACAAAATGAGTCCTCTACCTAGTCACCATACGTTGCTGTTAATCCTGCTTCCCGAGTGACCCCTGAAGGACATGCACACTGAACCTTGCTCCTGTCACACCTATGTCTTGACCCTGGTAGTACACTGAGATCTCCTCAGTCTAGGCACATAGTGAGCCCCTATCCTGGTTACACACTGAGCCCTTCTATAATTCCCATACAGTGGGCTCTTGATCCAGTCATCCTGGCTCCATGCTGAGTGCTGATCCCGGTCATACACTGAGCCCGGTGGCTGCTCACCATCTGAGGCCTGACTGTGAACACACACTGAGGCCTGATCCTTATACTAAGCCCTGATCCTGCTCATGTCCTGAGCCCTGATCACAGCATGAAAACCCTCACTCAGGCACAAACCAAGCTGTAGTAAGCTCATCTCTCTCTTCTCATACGTATCTTTTTCACCACCACTCCTGAGCATGTCTGCTCAGATCTGCCATGAGAGACAACCAAGCCCAAAGGCTCCCTCTCTCCCTCTTTCCTCCCCCAACTCTACCCACCAGACTCCACAAAAGACACCTCGTGAGTGTCTCTGAGCTGCAGGTCCTAAAGTGTGTGTGAGTTCCTGGCCCCTGCTGATGGACCAGGAAGGCATTGAGTCCAGGTCACAGACTCAGGGCACTCTGCCCAACAGGGCATGGCTCTCACAGTGGGGCTGGCTGCCGTACGCCACTTGGATGATACCTGGGCCATCCTAGAGCAGTTTGGACGGAGCACACCCATCAAATGGAGCCTCCAGAACCTTTCCCTGAAGGTATCGACTCGGGGCTCCTGGGGTTGTGGGGTGGGGGTAGGAGGATGCCAAATACCACACTGCATGAAGGGACGAGTAGCAACCTCTGTAAGAGTATGGCCGTCATTGAGGCAAGGGTTTATCCGAATAGTGAGGGGGTGCCACTCCTGAGCCACCTTACTGCACCCAACATGATTCCCCCTGGAAGACAGTGACTGGGGGCCCCTCCGCGGGGATTCCTTGGTTGGGGAGGCCTCGCAATGCTCCTGCAGGTCTGCTCATGGCTAGCCCTGCAACTAGAGAAATCCAGTGGCCTCCGGTGGGTCTTCACATCCGGCAAGTGGCAGAATTTCAGTGTATGCCTCAGATTCTCAGCGGGTGCCTGGCCCTGTTACACGATGTCCCCGTGTACCCTAGTGACGTCTGAGAGGAGAGATGACTCTGGACCACACCCAGGCCGGAGATGCCACTTTGCCCATGCCTGTCTGTCTGGATAGATGCATGTCCTTTCCACGCCCCCAGCAGCCCAAAAGTGTCTGGTGTACCCAGCTCTGATCATCCAGGAAGACAGGGATGTGCTGGGCTATGGGGAAAGAGCTACTGTCACAGGAGAGGCCCCGCTCTTGCAGTTCCAGTACAACCAAGCGCCCTGCACATAGCCCTTGGTGTCCCAGTATAATCAACCCAACCCCCTAAAACTCCAATTCTACCTCTGCTGTTCTCATATGTTGAACAAAGACCCTCTAGACACCTCTCTCCCCCACCTTGCTGGGATCAGGACACCCCTCTCACAACTCCTCAAGTAGACTGTGGACAAGCCCTGAAACCAAATCCACTCCTACCCAGCCCCATGGCCAGAGCCTCGAGAACCTTCGGTGGAAGTGGGCTGGCAGCACTATCCTCCTCTCCTACGGCCAGATGGCAGCCAAGGCCAAGAGCCAAATCCTGCCGTGGGTGGACAACATCTTGTCCAGGATGATCTTCTACTTCCGCTTCAGCTCCTGGGTACAGGGCCCCTTGCTCACCATCCCCCCACCCTGCCCAGCCCTGCACTTCCCCTAGAACAGAGCCCGGCACTCCAGCTCTGCCCTGCCCTAACTGCAGTGTCAAAGAGGCCCAGGGATGTCACTGGCCTGTGCCCAACTCCCTACTGCCCTCCCCTTCTGAATCGAAAGGGGTGGGGGGAAGGCTCATCCTCCCCTGCATTGTCCCAGGACCTTTATTATCCCTGGAAAATTCTCTAGTCTTTCATGAGGACCCCATCCCCACTTCCTACAAAGCAAATGCTGGGGTTTTCACTGGGGGAGGGGTAGATCCTGAGAGGCCAGGGTGATGGATGCCTCTGAGGAGCACCATAGCCTGGGTTGTTTTAAGGGCTGGCAATAAGTCTTAACCATCCAGGCTGCAGCCACCACACTCCAGAAGCCCCCTCGAGCCCCAGGCTTACAGAATGTTTGTGCCCCTTCCGAAAGAAAACCTCACCCATGAACTCCCAGCCCAATGGTCTCACTCTGACCCAACTGGGCCTGGAGATGGTGGCCTTGGTCTGCTGGCTTCTTGCTCTCTCCCACAAGTTCCTGGGCTCTCAGCCTGATCTGTGCCCTGGGGCCTGACCTACGCAGGATGAGACCCTGAAACAAAGCTTCTTGATGGCCACCATGATGCTGGTAGAGTCCATCAGCCGGAGTGAGGGTGCCCACAGCTACGAGTTCTCCCAGACTTCAGAGCTCCTGGAGTGTCTGACAGTACGTGCCAGACCCTGGGTACAGGAAGCCCTAACCCTCCCTCAGAGCAGCCCTCCTAGGCAAAGCTTCCTCTCTCAGACCAGCAGCTTTCCCAGGTACAGGAAGCCTCCTCCCTCAGACCTGGGAAAGGGCAAGGACCATCCCAGTTCCATCTGGAAATACTCCGTGTCCTCCTAAGGTTACTTGGGTCTGACCGGGACCCTGAGCAGACCAGGTATGCCCACATTACAGGCAATGCCACTGAGGACTGGAAAGGCCAGCACCTCAGGTCCCAGACTAATCACTTTGGATTTTGGTTTTCTAGATGGATTCTTTGGGATAGTGGGAAATGCACAGGAAACTGGGCAGTAGTGTCAGGAGCAAAGGGTAATGATCAAGACAGGGTGCCTCCTATCCCCTGCCTGGGCCCCAACAGCAAAGTGGACTCATTTCTAAGGAAGCAAGTGTCAGAGCAACCTGGATCAACCAGAGCAACCTAGTCCAAAGGCAAACAACTAGGACTATGTACCCAGAACTCAGACCTAGCCTGTCTCACCCCAGAGGCCATGCTGGCTCTCTAAGGGTGGACAAAGACAGGCAGCAGCACCACCCAGGCTGCATGGGGTGGGGCTAAGACTTGGTGTCAGAGGTGGTGTCAGCTAGGCCTGAGCCTCTGGCCCTACTCCTGTGGACTTACAGATACTGATGGAGAAAGAGCCGCAAGACACGCTGTTCACCAACATTCGCCAGCAGGTCATCCACATTACCTCCAGACTCTGGTAGGTTACAGTCTGTGAGGGCTGCCTTGGTCCAACAACCAGCTCTCAGCCTAGGATGCTAGCAGGGAAGCCAGACATCAAGGCCCTACTGGGCAAGAGAGCTTGGTGCTGAGCCACTGAAGGCCACAGGGGGGTGGTGAGGGTTCTGAACCTTTTAAGCCTGAGCAGAGCCACTCCATACAGTGAGCTGTCTTCCCTACCCCAGGTATTCAAGTAGGGAAGGATCTAGAAGGGGACCAAAGGGAAGCTGCATCTAGAGCCAGCCAAGCCCCCGGGGACAAGGGAGTGAAGCTGGGTACAGAGAGCTCAGGGACCCCAGAGCCAGGGATCTAGGACCCCATTTATCTCTCCACCTACAGATCAGGGAGGAGGTTAGACCAGGGGCCTCAGAGCTGCCTGCTCTCAGACCAAAACAGGCAATCCACATGGCCCTTGACAGGGTGCCAGGTGGAACCGGATGGGCATCCACTCCAACTGCATTTCCCAGGGGCTTTGCCTCTGCCAGCCCTCACTTCCTATTCACCCACTGCACAGTCACTGTTGATCTCTAGGCGCTGGACACTCTGGTCTCTGGGGACACAGCTGGAGGCCAGCAGGGAACACCCCTGTACTCCTAGAGATGGGATGTATACACTACATAAGGCTAGGAATGGTGCTGAAAGAGACTGGAGCAGGAAGTGAGACAGGGCGGGATGTAACATCTTCGTGGGGAAGAGAAGCATAGCAGCCTCAAGCACTGGGTCAAGGAAGCTGATTGACAACTGGTTAAGTATTGATTCACCGAATGCTCCTCTAAGCCTGGTGCTCTGCTAGAGTCCGGGGCATGGCCTGAGGCTGACTTAGGTTGGCTGAAATGGGACTGTGAAGGCAAAGCCTTTCATGGATGAGTCAGTGAACCCTGCAGGTGGTTGGCTGCAGGAACGGCACCTTCGGAAGCCCTTAGCTAGCACGTGCTTGAGCTGAGAGACCAGCAGGAGACTGGGGAGGCTGATGTGTGCATTAACCCCAGTAAGAAGCAAAGGGCTGTAAAGTCTGCATGGTCGGAAACAGATGCACGGGGCTTTCTGAGCCCTTGACCACTGCCCTCGCAGCCCCAGGCCCTCAGGATCCTTTACCCTCCCAACAGTGCGCTGAGGCCACCCATGGATATGGACAGGAAATTCCAGCTCCTCTCCTCCTGCTTCCGCAGTGTCTTTACCCTGCCACTGATGGATGTCCTGGAGAAGCACACCTGCCTCTTCCTGGAACCACCCAACATCCAGGTGCAGCCTACACTTAAGCCCAGGGGACAGCAGGCTCGGCCTGCTGGGTGTGGCAGGATGGGGGTGCATGGGCTGGCCCCAGCTAGTTGCCTAAAGGCTCTGGGTCTCCATTTTCTACCTGGACATCATTTGGGCCATGATTACTAATGGTGTGCACAGGCTCCTTGCTGATCCATCCCGTGTAAAATAGGCAGGGTCACCACTGTGTTTCCCTCGCCCCGAGCGCATGGCAACCCAAGGAATCCGCAGAAGACTGGGGATGCTCTCTCAAAGGGATGAGTTCCCTAATGTCGCAGGAAATGGCCACGTCACACTAAGGTGACTTAGGGAGGGTGGGCTCCATTTTACCACATCTGCCTACCTGGGACGCTGCTTTACAGGTTTCCCCTGGTCCACCCTGTTCAATACTAGCAGGCCCTGGAGAAAAAAAGTGCCTGCCATGTCTCATGGCTACCACGAGAGGGCGCATGAGATTTCCAGGCATGGTTCTGGCCCTGCCTGTCAGTGGCAAAGGGCAGGACAGCTTTGAAGAGAGCTCTACAGGCACCAGGCCGCCTGTGGGCCCTTCCCACCTTCCCACCATGACCTGGAGACAAGGGGTACACAGCTAAGAAGAATAAAGTTGACAGTGAGGATCCCAAGATCTGAATCCTACCCGAGGCCCCACTTGTGTTATACATCCATAAAGCTATGCCCAGACTAGATCTGGACAGATGAGCTCTGTGGGACAGGTGGTGACAGAGGAAATAGTGTCTACCACATCTTACAAAGCACCTGGTGACGAGAAGACTCCTCGACCCCACAGAAAATGCAGCCTAGGACTGGGTGTCCACACTGGGAGCCAGTGACATCTGTCCAGGCTCCTGCTTGATACTACTCCTTATATCGCCTGTCCTGTCACATGGCACCGGCTGCCTGTCACCCCTGTGGAGGTACACTGGCCTAAGAAATGAAGCCATCTCTTCAGGTCACCAGATAACACCAGATAGCTCTGGCCAGAGCTCCTAACGGCCTCTTGAGAGTCTGGCTGGGCATTTCTGTGACTCCCCCTTCCCTGAACATGCCAGACCGCACAATGTTGAAGATCCTTATATGATTCCCAGAAATCCCATAAGCTAGATCCTCCATGGGACCAGGGAAAGGTGTGTATCCGGGCCCATTCTAAAAACTTTTAAGAGGACCAGTGAGATGGCTATTGTATAAAAGCACTTGACACTCAAGCTCCGAGTTTGATCCCAGATCCATAATAAGAACAAATTTCTGAAAGCTGTCCTCTGATTTCCACACACATGCTCCAGGATGCATGCTTGTGCACAGGTATACACATGCTAAATAAATAATGAAATTAAACGTTGTAGGCTGGAGAGATGGCTCAGAGGTTAAGAGCACTGGTTGTTCTTCCAAAGGTCCTGAGTTCAATTCTCAGCAACCACATGGTGGCTCATCACCATCTATAGTAAGATCCGATGTCCTCTTCTGTCCCTGCAGGCACACATGCAGGCAGAACACTGTATAAATAATAAATAAATAAATCTTTTTTAAAAAGAAATTAAAATTTGCTGAGACCTCTGAGATGAATAAAAAAAATGCAGAAAAATAATTTCAGTAATTACATCCCTTTTGCCCTGAGGGTCCTGGGGCAAGACCGCCCTGGTCACATGTCTACATGTCTGTGGAGACAGCCCCTCTGGAACTGAACCTTGCTACACCTGTTGGTGGTTTCCCAAGGCCTTCTGGACGAAATCCGCACCTGTGTGGGAAGCCCCTTTTCGAATACAGTGATGAGCTCTGTCGGTTGTGGGAGCCACTGGACACTGCAGAAGTCTCGGGCCTTGTGCCCACGGGATCTGACCGAGCTCCTCTCTCCTGCAGGGCCTGTACACCCAGACCATGGAGGCGATGGACCAAATGCTGCAGTCCTTCATGGTGCAGAACCCCACAGCCGATGAGCTGTACTTCCTGCTGGCGGTGAGGGCTTCTGGCAGCTGGGGGACAGGCCATGGATGCCCAGCTGTGGCCCGAGAGTCCCAAAGAGGATGCTCCACAGAAAACAAGGCCTGGCCAGGAGGCTTCCCCTGTCTAGAGGTTTGGGGCATCTGGAGGAGACAGGGAAGCAATAGCCAGCCTGGCCAGAAAGGAATCTGCTAAGGAAGTAGCTTCCCCTAACACCTATATGCCCGATCCCACAAACCTCCTCATCAGCCCACTAGGTGTCCATGGGAGAGAGACCACTCAGCAGATAGTAAAGACCTGGGAGTAGGGCCTAGGCCCAAAGAACATGTCAGATCCATCCAGGCCAGAGGTCAGGACCAATGGAGGGTCACTAAAGATCCCTCAATGAAAACCATAGCCATCCCTGGGAAGAAAGGACCACAAGAGTAGCCTGGGGCCAGGAAGAGACAGGAGTGATGGCAACAGGTCAGAGTAGAGGTTACTCTGCCCTCTGGAACATGGAGGGTAAAAGGTTATGTGGTAAGGTTCACCCCAGCAGGACCAGGGCCTCATCAAGAAGCCAAGGGAGGCAGGAGCTCCAAGCATTGGGGTGCACAGGTAGATGTCAGAAGGGAGAACACAGTCAACGGAACCCCCCAAGCGACAAGGTAGCATACCGCTCTAGGAATGTGCCCAGGTGGCACTGGTTTCTACCAGTCGAAGTCACAATGGTTTCGCCCCCCATTCACTGGGCCACTCTACCTCCAAGTGCCCTGTGTCTAGCTCAGCTCACCACACCATCCCTCAGCTATGTGGTCATCTAAAGAGCAGTGACCAGCCTCTACCAGAGGCGGCTGCATCCCTGCCGGTGTGCGTGGCAAAAAGGTTCTAGAAAGGGCCATTTTGGCACAGAGCAGGCTGAGAGCTTATGGGAAAGGAAACGTGTCTGCTGCACAGGAAGTAAGCAAACCTGAAGGGTGGCTCTAAGGACAGAGACTGACGAGGGGACAGGAAAAGCTGCACCTGAAAGTGATGAAAGACAAGGAGCCTTGCTGCGGGGTGGGCAGGGATGGCCATTTCTGGGTGTCAGGGAAAACACGTGACCAAATCCACCCTGCAGCACCTGTACATCTGGCTGACGTCAGAGAAGACCCACGAACGGCAACGGGCTCTGCACAGATGCACCAACCTCTTCAAATTCCTGAACTATAAACGCTGCCTAAGTGTAAGCTCCAGCTTCTCGCCTCCCCAGCTTCTCACGGGGGGGGGGGGGGGGCGAGGGGAGCTCCCGCTCAGAACACCTGTGTCCCTGCCTCCAGGCCAGGGTGGACCCTGAACCCCTTGACTGAGCTCCATGGCAGGGGAGTCTAAATAATATGCCTTGGTTTTTTTGTTCTTTTATTTTTTTTAATTTTTTATTATTATTATTAATTACACTTTATTCATTTTGTATTGTTCTTTTATTTTTAATAGAGTAAATAACCTTTTAAATTTAATTTTCTGGGATTGAGGGGGAAAAAAAACCTCCATAATGAAGATGAATCGCGTGATCAGACGTGACTATGGGGTCTGGAGAAAAGGCTCAGCAGTCAGAACAGCAGTCACTGGCTGTTCTTGCAAAGGACTGGATTCAGTTCCCAGCATCTGTAACTCTAGTTTCATGGGATCGGGCAGTCCAGCACCAGACATGCACATGGCATACAAATATACATGTATACACAAAATATATACACATACACATAAAAGAAAGATAAATCTTAGACAGGGTTTCTCTCTGTGGCTTTATCTATCCTGGAACTTACTCTGTAGACCAGGCTGGCCTCAGAGATCTGCCTGCCTCTGTCTCCCAAGTACTGGGATTAAAGGCATGTACACCACCACCGCCCTTTGGTAATTTTTTTTTTTTTAATGTGACTGTGGTTCAGAGTGGCTACTTATTCTGGAAATATTTTTATGGGCTTTAGAGCTGAGATCAGAATAAGAATTTAGATAGTGTCCTACAAGTTCGTGGTTGGATCCTGTCCTAAGACCTCAACACTCTATTTACCTGGGAGTTTTCTGCAACTGTTTTGAGGTTTGGGGGTTTTTGTTGTTGTTGTTTATTTATACATATATGTGTGTGTATTATAATATTATTATATATTATATCATATAATATATTATACTACCTCATTCTTTCCTTTTGATGACCAAGTTTTAGAGTCAAGTCCTTATATTTTATCTAACCCCAACCCTACCACACAATTCAAGAGACCCGCTGGTGGATGCCGTTCTGGGAAGCAGGAGTAGCCAGTGAGCTAGTGTAGGTAGGCTCACCACCAGTGCCATTCTCTCCACATAGACCACGGAGAACTTCAGAAGGATCGGGCAGCTGGTGGCCATGCTGGGAATCCTGTGCCTGGACTCTGACAGGACCATCCAGTGCTTCAGTGTAGAAGCCGTGGGCCATCTCTACCAGCTCCTGTTGCACCAGAAAGGCGAGTTTTCTCAGCAGCACCACACACCTGGTCCCTCCCCACCTCAGCCTGGGTGAACTCCCACCAGCACCCCTGACCTCCACCTTTCCCCAAGCCCACCCTTAGCCCAGCCTTGACCTCAGCTACTAATGTAACTCCCAGGCCCAAATATACACAGGCCTGATGCCAGTTACAAATACCCGGCTAGACTCCTGCCCTGTCCCAAAAACCCCTGCCAACTCTCCCCTCCCCACACCCCTGCCTGCCCTGACCAGCAGGAGACATTCCAAAGGTGGAGAAGGAGACCCCTCAGGAACTCCTCCTGCCCGATGCAGTTGGAGCTTCCCTGTGGAGCAGTGGAGACCAGAGGGGCACTCTTCTGATCCCCCAGAAGATGGCATCCAACCACGTCAGCATCTTCTACATGGACAGCAATCACGCCATCAAGGTCAAAGCCTTTAGAGTCTTTCCGGCTGGGTGGGTGCAAAGCCAGACCAGACAGCCACATCTGTGGGTGGTGATAAATGGGCTCTTTTCTAAGCTTTCGAAGGGGATGCAGGCAGGTTGGAGGGACAGCAACACGCATTAGACCACATGTGCCTTATAGGGGAGCCTTCAAGGTTTTCTCAAATCCCTTTCTCAAGTTTTCCAACCTTCTCTAGACCATTTCCTCACTTACAGTTCTCCCACACCTTTCACACCAGGGTGTGAATTGTGTCTTCCTCAGAAGCCACAACCTGAGGCTATGAGCTAGATACTGGCCTTAGCTGGATGATCCTTGCTAAAGCAGCATCAGGCCCGTGAGTTCAGGAAGTCTGAGAGCTGTGACCTCTTCCTTGCTCAGGTTGGATTGCACTTTGGCTAAGAATGATCCCCGTGGTTGACAAACTTGTCCATCTTTGTCAGACCCTAGTCTTCCCCATCTCAACAGAGTCCATGTAGGGTCTGGTGGTTGAACTGGACTTCAGTTAAGCACCCATGGCATATGGTGGGGAAGGCGGGTACATGGCTAGTGAGTGTCCCAGAAAGACTTGGTCTGAACCCATGAACTCCAGGCCTCAGCAGCTGCAGCGAGCTGTCCAAGTGCTGGCGCTCCTTAGAAGTTTAGTGCCGAAACTCTGAGCCCCTAAGGACAGCACCTCAATGGGCCTGCCTAGAACGAAGAAAAATCTCACTTAGCCATGGTTTTGCACCAGAAAACCTGGGCTTGGGGCAGAGGCAAAACAAAGAGGGGTGGGTTCCAATGGCTGCCAGCCCAGCAAGTGCCCCGGGAAAGGTGAGCCACTGGGAAGCATAGTGTCCAGGGCCTGGAGAAAGGCAGCCTGCTCTGGAGGTATTCTGGGCCTCAATTCTAGTCACAAGTTTTTGTACAGACATCTCATGAGATATTGAAATACATTACAGTTTTATCATCATTGACATCATCATCACCACCACCACCTAATGCCACGACAGTCACCGCTATCACCATCATCACCACCACTGTCGTCACTATACCCCATTCATCACCACCATCACCACCGCCATTGTATTACCGTTACCTCCATCACCACCACCATCATCACCACCCCACACCGTCATGATCACCATCACCTTCGACATCATTTTTGCCATCACCACAATCAACCACCACACCACCTCTCGTTCACTCATGGCCTTCATTTAAAAGCTCAGCATCGCAGGGCTCCTTTCCATTCCTGGGTCTGTAGTACTCTGGATGCTGAGCATCTCACCACCATTCTGACTTGAACACTTTGTAGGGTGGACGATCTACATCTGTGCTGATCAAAGAAGCCACTGGCCAAATAGAGCCACTGGGCTCCTGAAATAAATATAGGGCTACCAAAGATCAAATGAGAAGTTTAACTTAAGTCTATCATGGATGCAAACTTCTAGGAGTGGCGAGGCTATTATGTTGAATGGTCATAGTCCAATTCTTTCTAGAAGGTTCTGTCTGTACGTTGATCTAGACCAGCTCTACTCTCCAGCGCACTAGGGGAGGAGGACTTAGATGTATCACCTGGTATTTATTTCCTCAAGAGTCCTTTCTACCCCACCCCCTATCCCCAAGCATAGCTAGGGGCTCAGAAGGCCCTACATGGGACTGTAGTCCTGGGTTCCACACCAGCCTGACCCCACATATTCCCACCCTGTTCCATGGTACCTCTCTAGGGCTAGAGGTCAGACCAGGTGGCCTGGAAGATCCTTCACAGCTCTGAAGTTCAATTCTCTTTGATTAATACCCTCAGAAGGTACCCAGCAGGGTATTAAAGCCGATAGCCAAACTTTGGGCAGAGTGCAGGGAATCTTATGAAAGAAGGGGGAGATAGAAAGACCTGCAAGGGTCTGGAGCTCCACAAGGAGGACAACAGAACCAAAAACATCTGGGCCCAAGGGTCCTTTCTGAGACTGATACTCCAATCAAGGACCATTCATGGAGATAACCTAGACCCCTTGCACAAAGTATCTTGTGGCAGCTCAGTCTCCAAATGGGCTCTAAGGGGAGCAGAGGCTATCTCTGACATGACCTCAGTGGCTGGCTCTTAGATCACTTCCCCCTTAGGAGGGAGCAGCCTTACCAGGCCACAGAGGAAGAAGACAATGCAGCCAGTCCTGATGAGACCTGATAGGCTAGGGTCAGATGGAAGGGGAGGAGGACCTCCCCTATCAGTGGACTGGGGGAGGGGGATGGGAGGAGATGAGGGAGGGAGGGAGGGAGGGAGGGGGGGAGGGAGGGAGGGAGGGAGGGAGGGAGGGAGGGGGGGGGGGAGGGAGGGATTGGGAGGGACTGAAGGGAGGGCTACAGCTGTGATACAAAGTGAATAAATTGTAATAAATAAAAAAAATTATTAAAAAAAAAAAACCCTCAGAAGGTCCTGACCATGGGCAGTACTCCTAGGGCCAAGATGGGAGCAAGAGGGGAATGAGACAAAGCTTCTAGGACCACCAGTTCCAAGAACAAGCCAACACTGATTGGGGAAAAGAGCCTTGTACCTGCCCAGTACTGGACACCATACTCTCCCTTCCTGTCCCTAGGCATTGGCTAGGGTAGGGAGGTGTGGAAGAGATTGTGTACTGGGCCCACATAGAGAGCCTAGAGGAGTGGGTCCCCAGAGATTTAAGGAGCCTGAAAAAGGAGGATGGTAAAATGGGGCAGCCACGGGGGCTTGAAGTGAGAAGGTGACAGGCTTTTCACTCTCACAGGAGATAGTGAGTCATCTCTCAATGGCAGAACTGACCGACCTCATCTGGACAGCCATCGATGGCTTGGGCTCTACCAGCATTTCCTGGGTGCAGGCGGCTGCCGATTTGCTTTTTCTTGTCATCCAGGAGCATGGGGACAACCTGGAGACTGTGAGGGGTTGGGGCTCTACCCAGGGAGGAAAGGGGTTTGGTTGGGGACAAGGCAGCAGGCAGCATCTAGGGACTTTCTCTGGACCATGATGGTATCTCACTGCAGGCAGCAGACAATCCCACTAATGTATAGATGGATTGGTGGGTGGTTGGATGGTCGGATAGATAGATGGTTGGGTGGGTGAGTAGGTGGCAGATATATGGGTGGGTGGGTGAGAGAGTGGGTGGGCAGATGGGTAGATGGATAAGTGGGTGCATAGGTAATTACAGGGGTGACTCAAAGGATCCCTGGTAGCCCAGATGACCACTGTGGGTCATGGGGTAAATGTACATTAGTTAAGCACAGCTATGGCCCATAGAGAAATGAGGTGACCGAGAAAAAAATCACACCAGAACTTCTATATCTTACGGTCTGCTGGGGGTAACAGGATACAGACAGAGTAGTACAGAGAGATTAATGAGCCTATGGGATGAGAAGGGTCCCCTGACAGGAGACAACAGATGCCAACTTTTCCAGATGCCCCATTTTGCTTCAGGCCAGCTGTGCAGAGTGGGTGGGGACCCCCATCACACCTTCCACTACCCCTAAACAGGTTGGTAAAATGGGCCAGGCCATCCACCACCACCTCTGTACCATCAAAATGCCCCAAGCCAAGACCAGTGTCCTGCGTGTCATCACCGTACTGGCCCGGAACCACATCCCAGAGCTGGTGGCTGCCTTCCTAGACTTTTCCTTGCCCCTGGACAGGTACCTAGCTGCATCCTCCTCACTGACCCCATTACCTACCTTCCATCCTCCCCTAGGCCAGGGTCACGGCTTCTGCCCTCCTGTCTGTCCATCACAGCCACGGGAAACCCAGAATGCTTGGTGTAGGGAGGGAGTCAGCACCCTGTTCGTGTGCCTCCGGTCAGCATTCCGTATGAAATATCTGCCTTGGCCTCCAAAACCCATCCTAAGTGGTCTTTAATTCCAGAGGGCTGCTGGTGGGACGCCAGCCGACCACAAAGCCTCACCATCCGTCGGCATAGCCCCTCTTACTTGCCCTACTCTTCATTTTCTTCTTCCTACTCTTCCAACAGACCCCCTGCAGCCACCTCTGCCCTCACAGGTGGGCCTGGGTTTTCTCCTATGACACCGCACTCCTAGGGAGAGAGCAGGGTTCTCGGCACTGCTTGTGATCACTCCTCCCTAAGATCCCACCTCTGGATCCCACATCCTCCGTCTGTGCCACCCATCAGTCATCCACCACACCTGGCCTGAGTCACCCCTCACTTCTTGGTGTAATACCTGCTCAAGGATAGACTACTATCTCTCCTTTCCAGACCAGAATTCCCCTCTGCCCCTCACCCAAACTTCTGCATGGATCTCTTACTTTCTCCATGATCAGCAAGCTTCTATTTGGTGGGACCAGCATGCTGCTGTCCTGCCTGACTTCTCACCCTCCTCCTGGCTCTACCAATTAGTCACACCTCACAAAGCCAGGTCCTTGACTGGGGTGCTAACTTTGCTCTGTACTGCTCTGGGAACTCTGGAAACCGGTAAAAGAGCTCTCCCAGAGCCTAGAGTCTTCTCCAGGGAGAATTCTCACCTCAGTATGAGCAACTTGTTACTTCCATTGTGCTCAGGTTCAAATACAGGTTATTACATCTCAGGACTTCCCCGATCCTTTTATCTGTTTTTGTGAACGTCACCTGGATCTTCAAGAAAAAAGTATATTTTATCAGTTCAATGTGGAGTTTAATATATCCATCAAGTTCAGCTTGATTAAAAAAAAAGTTTACATTTTATTTTGTGGAAGTCAGAGGACAACGTGTAGGAGTCATTTCTCGTCTTCACCGTATGAGTCCTGGAGCTAGGACTCATCAGGCTTGTGGGCAAGCGCCTGTACCCGCTGAGCCATAAAGATGGCTCACGTTTTACCTTGTGAGTTACTTGGTCATGTCGCCTGGACGATATTTTTTTTTTATATGTCTTTGAAATCTAGTTCTTACTAGGTGAGGTACTCCAGACTAGTTTTCCCAAGTACCTGGAGCATCTTTGATTATGTAATTAAGTCTTTTCGTTCTTATTTCTGGGAAGTTTGCCTGACTATGTTCAAATGTAGCCTGCCCAAGTCACTGTCTCTGTTCCGATGCTGTTTCTCTTCCACCCCCTCCTTCACAGTCTCTAGTTCTACTTCACCCTCTGATGCTCTTGGCTTTTCCCCTAAATTTACAGTCCTCTTCATATCACTCTTCTGCCTTCCCTAAATGCCTTGATAGCTTATCTTCACAGATGAAATGAGCCAATACGAGCCAAATTAGAGTTTATAATTACAGGTTTATTAGGGGCAGCTCTTGGGTGAGTTCATCGGTTCCAAGGAATGGGGCCAGGGAAGTCGCCATGCAGAGAGAGACAGAAAAGGAGGGAGGGGCAGAGAGAGAAAGCACTCGTGCAGAGAGAGAAAGAGAAGAGGAAAAAATGCAGAGAGAGGAGAAAGAGCAAGGGGGACAGAGGAGAAAGAAGGGAACCAAATGTCTGATTTATAGAGTGAAGAGCCTCTGGAGGAAAGGAAGCCTCACCCTTGGGCTGGAAAGTTCAAAGTAGAGGGCTGGGTATGATAGCCATGCCCAGGTAGGGACTGAGGGATGCTGGGAGAACCTGGAGGTCAGGTCTGCTTTGGTTAAATGGGCACCTCAGCCGCTTGTCCCGGGTCTGAATCCCAACAACTCTTATTAAATGTTCATTTGAACCTTACCTCACTTGAACGCCCTTTAATTTTTTTCCCATTCCCAAGATTTTTTATGTGTGTTATACACACAAATGTATATGATGTATATGTATCTGTGGAGGCCAGAACTTGACCCTGGGTCTTCCTCAGTTTCTCTCCACCTTATACTGAGGCAGGCACTCACAGCTGAAACCAGAGCTCACTGATATGGCTAGTCTGTCCAGCTTGCTCTGGGTGTCCCACCTCTGCCTACCAAGTACTGGAATTAAAAATGGGCTGCTACCCCCACCTGGCATTCATGTGGATTCTGGGTATCTGAACTCTGGTCTATTCACTTCCAAAGCAGCCTCTGTGAACTACTGAGCTTGAACTCCCGGGCTTGAAAGTTTGTTGTTTGTTTGTTTGTTTGTTTTGAGACAGGCCTTGCCAGACTGGCCTTGAACTCATTCTTCTCTCTCAGCCCTAGAGTTCTAGGATAACCTAACTGAAGTCAGTGCTTTATTCCTGCCATTTCTTTCCTGAGTTCAGTGAGTTCCTGTCAGGTCCTACTGAAGATCTATCCTTTCTTGAGCTTATTCAAGCGGTCCACTCTCCAAGCACTCACTCATTGTGGGACGAGTGAGTCCAGGATTCCTCTGTAGTGCTAGCATTCTCAGGGTATCTTCACTTTGCCAGCTCATATCTTCTAGTTTTTGCAGTAACTATAGAGCTGATCGCCTTAGCCAATGTTCTATTGCTGTGAAGAGACACCATGACCAAAACAACTCTTCTAAAAGCGAGCATTTCATTGGAGTCGTGCATAGAGTTGCAGAGAGTTAGTCCAGTGTCATCATGGCAGGGAGTATGGTGGCAGGCAAGTGGGGTTGGTGCTGGAGAAGGACCTGAGAGCTACATCCTGACCTATAGGTCAAGAGAAAGAGACTGACCCTCAGCCTGGCTTGGACTTTTGAAACCTCAAAGTCCACCCCTAGTGACACACAATTCCTCCAACAAGGCCACACCTCCTAATCCTTCTCAAGTAGTGCCACTCCCTGATGACTAAGCACTTAAATATATGAGCCTATGGGGGCCATTATTATTCAAACCACCTCCCTGTTCATTTCGTTCCTGCTGTTAGAGCTGTTGGAGTGTTTCTTGGAATTTCAAGTTCAATGGCTCCATCTTCTGTCAGTATAGGAAAGGCCAAGCCATCTAGAACACTTTGGGGAGGCACCACACACCCTCTAATTCTTTTGGCTCCTTTCCTCTTCTTTGACAGTAATGTTTTCTTCTTTCCTCTTCCCTCTTTCCCTTTCAGCACCAAGTCTCTTCCCCTCTTCGTCCTCCTCCCTTTCATCCTTCCTCCTCCTTTCTTTTTCTTCCCTCTTTCTTCCTTCTCCTCCCTCATCCTCCCCTTTCCCCTTTTTTCTCCCAATGTCCTTTGAAAAGGGCATACTGTTTAACTCCCTCCCCCTGTGCCCAGTGTTCTGCCCTACCAGAGTTCTCACTCCTCTGGTGTATTTTAAGACTTCAAGTGGATTCATCCTACTGAAGGTGATTTTTGATCTAGTCCCAGCCTCCCTTGCCCTGTGTTCATTTTCCAGAAGTTTCTCTTATCTGCCTCTATCTGTCACAGAGCCTTGAGGTAGGGGGTGGAGCTTCCCTGTTAGGGCTGATGAGTTTTTTTTCTCTCTTTACTCCCAGTGAAGAGGCCACAGTTGCACGGCTCCCACCAAGTTACACAGTTCCTGCCAGGCTCTGTGCTGTCTTTCAAGGAATCAAGGAAAGTGCAGATCTCAGCAAGCAGCACCTTTCCTGATGCCCAGCAGTTTACAGTTCCATTCACTGCTGAAATTTATGTCTTTCTTCCTCAGTTTCAAACACTGTCCCCATGACAACATTTACAGAGCCTGTGTGATGTGCACCGATGGAGTCTCATGGCTAGATTTATCTGGATTTACATCGGCTCCTACCGGTCACCTGGGCATGGTCATTTGTGATGGTTTTAAACATAAAAGTCCCTTCTGGGTCGTTTGGGGGCTGCATTGGTGATGGAAATTTGGACATTAAAATAGGCCTTATGATTCACATTCCCAGAACTGCATTCTCCTTCCACCTAGGGTGCCAAAGCAGGAAGGATTCCTCACTCTTTTCTTTTTTTTTAACAGAGCAGAGATTTGTTTGTTTGTTGCTTCCTTTTTCTCTTCCCTAAACCATTCACATAAGTCTATAGAGAGATCACTTATTAGACGCCTATCAAAAAACTACATGTCCTAGCTAGATATGGTGGTGAACACCCAGAATCCAAACACTCAAGAGGCTGAGACAGAAAGATTACAACTTTAAGGAGAGTCTATGTACAAAAAGGTCTCAGAAAGAAAAAACAAATTGCCACCTTGCCTGGGGTCGTGGTATTGCTAGAAGTGGTAAGACATGAGTTCTCCAGGTTCAAAGACGGCCAGATCTACATAGCAAGTTCCAGGCCAGCCAGGGAGACAAGAAAGACCCTGTCTCAAAAGCACATACCCATCCCAGTGGTCCATGTGTGCTGAAAGTGTGAACAGAACTGTACTGTCTGGTCTCTTCCAACGTCTTTCTTTTTGCCTGGCTTTGTTTCCCTCTGGCTTCATGTTTAAATCTTACTGTGTCCCAGGGCAGCTCCCTCTTCTTTGTTGTTCTGTGGCACTAATGTCGTGAATGCCAAGGGTACCCTTTACTGCAGATGAACATTTCATTATTTCCCGCTAGAGACCTCGATGCACAGTGCATCTGTGAACTTGCTTGTGTGTGTCCTAACATACTTGAGGACTGGATTTCCTCTCTCTCCCTCCCTCTCTCTCTCTTTCTGTGTGTGTGTGTGTATGTGTGTGTGTGTGTGTGTGTGTGTGTGTGTGTGTGTGTGTGTGTTAATGGAGACAAAAAGCTATGCTGTATTCCCCCATGGAGGAAGCAAGGCATTTCCCAATGTGTTCTTGCCGAGTCACACTCCAGAAACAGACTGCTATTCTCTGAGCATCCCTCTTGCTCTGCAGCTTCACTGATACTCTGCGCCTGAGTTTTAGTCAATCGTCCAAGTTTTAGCCGATCTGGTGGGTGCTGACCATCTATAGGTCACTGTTATGTCCATGATTGAACTTGACTTAATATCTTCCCGTTCCCTTTATTTTCCTTTGTGCATGTGTGTACAGATGTGTGTGTGCGTGTACGTGCCCATGTACATGGGCACGTGTGTGTGGATGAGTGTAAATGTGACTGAGGTTGGAGTCAGGGACCATCTTCAATTGTTCTTTCTCTGTATTCATTGAAGTGGGATCGCTCTGTCAAGCCACTGACACTAGTCTCATTAGCAGCTTACTCTGGGGACCGTCTGTCTCAGCCTTTGGAGCCGGGAATCATTGATGGATCATTACACCCACCTGGTATCTCTGGTTTCTGGGGATAAATCCTGGTCCTCATACTTACTTAGCAAGCTGAGCCACCGCCCCTCCTCCACTTCCACTTGCCCTTTGACAAGGAGACTATGCAAAGGTCTTGCCTGCCTTTTCACCAGCTGTCCCTGTTATAATATGGAACATAAGACTCTTTCCTAAAAGCTGGACATAATCCCTTCTGGTCTGTGATGTTAGGAATATCTTCTCCCACAAAGCAGCAGCTTCCCCACCCCTACCACATCCTTTCGTGAGCAGATGCCACGAAAGTCCACATTGTCCTCTGGCACTGCCTTGTAAGGTTCTCTTGTTGGCTGTCAAAGCTGATCTTTCCAGCCCGTCTGGAATGATTCCTCTATGAGGCAGATATGGTCCCAGCATCAGTAACCCAGCCCTCTCCCTCCTCAGCTTTCCTCAAAGGGCTCTACTTCTCCATCCCCAGGCCAACATGCAGAGTCCTAATCGTGGCAGCTCTGTAGCAACTGACCTCCCTACACAGAGCAGCCTCCCTCTCTGACCTTCCAAGGAGGACTTCTCTACCCTTGGCCCTTTGCATTTCCATAAAAACACTTAGAGTCAGGTATGAGAGCTGTCTTTCTTCTCTTCTGCCTTTGATGCTTTTACTTGAGTGCTCTGAAGCCTGGCTCGAAGAGCTAGAGGGATGTCTTGGTGCTTATGGACATTTACTGTTCTTCCGGAGGACCACAATTTGTCTCCCAGCACCAGTGTTGGGTGGCTCACAACCACCTATAACCCCAGCTCCACGAGATCTGACACCTCCTTGTGGCCCTCCTTGGCACTCAATGGTATGTACACAGACACAGATACTTATACTCACACACATGCACACTGGGACAGAACTTTAGTGTCCACACTGCCTAGAACTTAGACTAGTCTAGCCGTGGTCTAGCCACAACAGTTCCCTTTGTTGGTGTTGCAGCCTTGAGTTTCCAAATCATTGTTTCAGACTTGCCTTTTTAAATTTTACTTTGCTTTTGTGTGTGTGTGTGTGTGTGTGTGTGTGTGTGTGTGTGTGTGTGTATGCACACACAGGTGCCTGGGGATCCAGAAGAGGGCATTCCATCACTGAAGCTAGAGTTAAGGGTGGTTGTGAATGGCCGCATGTAGGTGCTAGGAACACAACTCAGGTCCTCTGCAAGGACAAAAGCTCTTAACTGTGGAGCCATCCCTCCAGCACCCAGACCTGTCTATTGTACACAGAATTGTATGAGACTTGTCACAGCCAGTCTTTGTCTTTGGTTGGAGTACACGCTATATTTGCATGTACTATAACTGTCAACGTGTTTGGGACTGACTTTGCTGTCTTTACTTTTTTCCCAACAAGAAGAGAACCTTCAAAGCCCTCAGGTGAATGGATATGGCCCTGTGTTGATGCTTAGACTCCCCCCTGTGTATTGAACCCTTCAGGTTTCTCTACACTAAAACATGTCATAGCTTCATCCTTCTGGCCGGGCAGTGTTCTACTGTGTATACTCTGGCGTGTGTGTGTATATATATCGTTGTGTGTCAGAGTTGAATTCTGCTCATCAGTTCACCTGCTGATGGACATCCAAGTGGTCTACACCTTCACTCTGCATGAATAATCTGCTGTCAACATTGGCATACATGAATTCTGCCCTCTACACCTGCAGCCCCCATATCCACGGAGTCACAGAACATGCCTCCAGAAACATGATGCCTACGCTGACCCCACACAGGCTCCTCATTACCACCCAAGCAATGCAGCTTAATGACTGCTTACATGGAATCTGCCTCATATTAGGTAGTCCATATAATGGGGTTGGGGGTTAAAGGACACCTGGAAAAGGGTGGCTTATTTTGGTTCGGATTGGATTTTTGAGATAAGGTGTCACTGTAGCCTAGACTGGTCTAGAACTCAGTGTGTATGCCACGCTACACTTGAACACTTGCAGTGTTCCTGTATCAGCCTCCTAAGTTCTAGAATGGCAGACACAGGCCACCATGCCCGGCTAGAGCATCTATAGATTTTCATTCCCAAGGGAAACTCTGAAACTAACCCCCTACTGATATCATGGCACAACTACATATCTTTCATTTGATCTGTTCTATGCTTTCTGGGGTGCGTGCATTTAGTGAAAGTACAAGGCTGCATGGCAATATCACATCTAATCCCTTGAAGAACTGCTCTGACTTTCCAAAGCGGTTTTGTTTCTTTCCGCTCCACCAAGAGCGTATAGATTCCAATTTCTCCACATCTTCTTCAAGGCTTGTGCTGTTCCCTCCTTGAGGCCATGCAGTGGCTGTAAAGTCACATGAGCTAGTCCCCACGGGGGTCCTTGTCTTCCATGTGCTTCTTCGTTGGACATGTATCTCTCCTTCTTGAGAGCTGTCTATTCAGGTCTGTCGCTTTGTGAATTCTAGCTAGGTTTCCTTTCTCCTTTGCTCACCGCTCCCATCCCTCCCAAGCCTGCTTAGGTCCATCTTTCCCACCGCAGCTGAGCTGAAAAGGTTCATATCAACAACTTCACACTGCTGGGACAATACCCCCCTTGGCTCGCTGTCAGCAATCACTTCGTCATCCATGCTTGTCCCATTGGCTCCTAGGTTTCTCCCCTCTTTTCTTTACCCCTCACTTCGTTCTTGCCCTCAGCACTTAGCATGCAACATACCCGTGTTCGCCACTAGGCCGTCACTCCTAAGGCATCAAGGATTTTTATCCATGCTGCCATGTCTTGCTCTTCTGAAATTGGCCTCCGAAGGCTGCTGCCTAGCACAAAGGTACAGGTGGAGAGACAGAAGCCCCAGGGAGCAGACTGGAAGTCTCACCCTCCAGGCTCTTACACTCAGGGAGGGCTCTGTCACGCTGGCGTCTTGATGCAGCCATCCCAGGACCACACTGTAAAAGATCCCTGGGATCTTCCCTGCCCACCCAGCAAGGGTAAACCAGGCCTTGGTGGTTTCCACAGGGCCTTAAGGGTGCCCCCCTCAGGTCTGCCGTGACATTTGTGAGGCCACTCAACTATGGCCTTCCTGGTCTTGCCAAATTAGAGCCTCTGCCACCCAACACTCAAGCCTAAAGAACACTAGGGCAAGGCTCAGAGGATACCATAGTTCCCTCTGAGGATAGCTCTTATCTGCCGTCCCTACCCTGGGCTTCAGATGGCTGCAGGGCCAGTGCCCAGATACCAGACAGAATTGTGATCTGAGCAAGCCACTCTCTGGAGGCCTCAGTGTCCACCTCCCTGCAAAGTAGGGTCACCCTACCCTTCACTGGGGTCCTAGGCCAAGAGCCTAGTAGCCAAGCCAAGCAAGCTTGAGCTGCAGTTTGACCACTTCTCTCTATCCACAGCCATGCCTTCTGCCTGTGGAGGGCCCTGGGAGCTGAAGAGCCTGCGAGCCACTTGGTTCTGACTGTGCTGCTGGCTTGGCTGCAGAAGAGGCCTCTGCCTCCTAGTGTCGGCAACGGCATCTCCTGTCCCAATGAGAGGCCCTACATGCGTTCACTGGCTGTGAGTCTCTGACCCCATCCCAGGCAGGCAGCTGTGTGAACACATGGGTCAGTACCAGACTGCAGGGAGGAGGACTGATACCCAGTCTACTTCCTATCTGGAGGAGAAGGGCACAGGGCAGCCCCGCCCACAGACTGATCTCACAGGCCTTGTCCCCAGGCTCAGTTCCCCATGACCTGGCTCAGGACTCTGAGCCCGTGGCAAGTAAGTCAGGAGGTTCTGCCCATAGGACTGCTAAGGAGACTGTATGAGGCAGCCTTGGAGGGGAGGGGGCCTCTGGCCATGTACAAACAGAAACCTAGAGTTTGGGGCTCAAAGCCATGCCCCACATTGGGGTCATAGATTTTGGAGGAGCCGAACTGTCATCAGAACACTGTCCCCGTAGGGCTGTGTCTCCAGTCTTCTCCATTAGCCCACATCATACCTACACACCCAGGAACAGGACACCTGCTTACTAAGGTGGTCGTGTCCACATCTGTCTCCTTTGGCTGGCCTCTTGCAACAAGGCAGTAGCTGTACCAAACTCCGTATTGTGAGTTGCCTCCCCAAGTCTTCCCTAGACAACCAGCCACCTGCAGACACAGAGCTGAGAAGGCAGAGAAGGCAGGAGATCCTTAGGCTTAGACAGGTTGGGGACCATAGGTTGGGGGAGCACGTCCGGCTATAGACATGGCTATATCAGCTAAAGAGCACAGGTCAGGGAGCAGCACTTGGGGAGCATCAGCGCAGCAGGCCCAGAGGCTCTGGTGGAGACTGCACAGATGGCATAAACTGGTACGGTCAAGGGACATTGCCTGGACACTTAGACTTGGTCCTTGAGCCTTGAGAACGGGGAGGGGAGAGGTGTGTTAGAGTGTGGGTTTTGATTAAGCATCCAGGGCCTGGAATCCCAGCACTTTCCGTCCATCCTCACCCAACTCCAACAGGCCATGCACGCAATTCACGAACTACAGTTCGCGCGAGAGTTCAAGAAAGCCGTGAGGGATATTTTTCCCCAGCTGTTCCTGGCCCTTCTGGCCCAAATGCACTATATCCTGGAGTTGAACCAACCCAAAGAGCCTGAGCAGAATCAGAAAGTCTGGGAAGCAATCACGCCAAGTCCCCAAAGGTAAGACCAAGGCCTCAGAGGCAGCTAAGTGCTGGGCCTTACACATACCTGTAGTGTGTGCAGGAATACCCAGGACAAAGTTAGCTTCCTGCCCAAGGAACAAGTGGGCACAGAGAGTGGGTAGGGGAACGTAGGTACAAGATATTATCGTTTAGTTCAGGGGCGAGAAGTCAAAAGTCAGAGGGTCTGCAGACTTGTCCTTTATTCCTTCCCTAGCTTTGCTGTCCCTGCAATATGTTGGTAGTCTGTAGCTTAAAGCTGCATGACCTTAATCTCAGTTTCCACCATCCCATAATACTGTCCCCTGCCTGGGTCTAAATGCCTACTTTTTTTATGTTGTTGTTTTTGTTTTTCAAGACAGGGTTTCTCTGTGTAGGCCTGGCTGTCCTGGAACTTGCCCTGTAAACCAGGCTGGCCTTGCACTCACAGAGATCTGCCTGTCTCTGCCTCCCAAGTGCTGAGATTAAAGGCATGCGCCACCACTGCCTGGCTAATGCCCACTTCTTATAAGGACACCAACCAATGAGTTTGGGCTATGCTAACTACTTACTCTCTGCCAAATGGTTGGGCAGCTATGGGAACTATCTCCAGCACATCTTCTTTTGGGGGAAAAAGGGACAGACAAAATGTCTTTCTTTTCAAGTGTTAGATATTGATTGTTTGACATATGACGCCCATTTTCATAATACGTTCACACATGAAATTAGATACAGCACACCGTTTTTTGTTTTTTTGTTTTTTGTTTTTTTTTTTTTTTTTTTTTTTTTTTGGTGCTAAGAAAATTATATTTCAGGAGAGTTAAATAATTTTACCAAATCCCTGTAACACATTTAAAGCCCAAAGTGTAGCTTCAAAAGCAGATTGAGCTGGTTCTTTCTGAGAGGAAATTATTCCACTCATTATAGAATATCCTGAGTAGCCCAGACACAGCCTGGCTGGGAGCTTGAACTGTCCCGGTGACTGAAATAATTTGCTTTATAAGTCATATAGTATATCAGTGTCCCAACAGTCCAGCACGCCTTTTTCAAAAGGACAGTGTCTTAGTTAGGGTTTCTATTGCTATGACAAAAACTCCATGACCAAAAGGGCAAGCTGGGAAGGAAAGAGTTTATTCAGCTTACACTTCTAGATCCACGAATCATCACCGGAGGAAGCCAGCACAGGAACTCGAGCCGGATGGAAACCTGGAGGCAGGAGCTGATGCAGAGGCCATGGAGGAGTGCTGCTAACTGGCTTGCTTCCCATGACTTGCTCAGCCTGCTTTCTTATAGAACCCAGGGCCACCAGCCCAAAGGTGGTACTATCCACAATGGGCTGAGCCCTCCCACATCAATCACTAATTGAGAAAATGCCTTACAGCTGGAACTCATGGAGGCATTTTTCCTCAGTGGAGGCTCTGTTCTCTCTGGTGACTCTAGTTTGTGTCAAGTTGACACACAAAACCAGCCAGTGCAGTTAAGTCATAACAGTCACGATCCCAAATGTCACGCGTGGCCAGGATAGTAACCAGCACAAACTGTCCTAAAGACGGGTGTGTGTCTGCTTTCTTTGTCCCCCTAGGAGGGTACCTGGCCACACAGACACATGGCCCCTGAACACAGCTACCCAGTTATAATACAGAGCGCTTTTGGTTTTGGTTTTGGTTTTGTTTTTTCAAGACAGGGTTTCTCTGTGTAGCCCTAGCTGTCCTAGAACTCACGCTATAGACCAAGCTGGTCTTGAACCCAGAGACCCACCTGCCTGTGCCTCCCAAGTGCTAGGATTAAAGGCACGCACCATCATCACCCAACAGGACACCTCTTCTTGATCCATGTGCTCCTTGTAGTGGGTCCAGGACACAGCCATCCCTCCACACATCAGAGATTCAGGAACAGAGGTTCAGGGTGGCTCTGACGTTTCTCTAGCCAAGAGGCAATGAGCTGGACCACAGATTACCATCCAGCCCTCACCAACGCTATGCCTACCTGAGTGGATTGTGGCTTGTCTCTGTGCAATGTCATGGATAGGAATGCCCCGCCCCTCACCCACCTGACCAGGATTTGAGGGACACTCCATCCTGTCACAGTAGGCTTCCCTCGGGCTTCCCTTTGCACCTGGTCATATTTTCCAAAATCCAATAATCAAGTCTTTTTAAAACCACTGGGGTTCACTCTTTTCATTTGTTTGTGTGATGATGTGCTTCATGCAATTTGTCAATTTTAACAGCTCTCCCCGAGGCATGTCACAGAAGAAAAAAAATGTCACTTACTCAGATTGCCTCTGAATTCCAATATGCGCAAAATCTCTTTTTTATTCACATCAACCATGCAAAATGCATGAATCTTCCCTAATAAGCTAATGAAACATTTTCCTCCCAGAGCTCAGCAAGATGGGGAGAATGCAAAGATGCCTGCTTCCTCCCTTCTGCTTCTCTACCTTACTCTTCCCCCAACTCCTCAGGGCTCTGCTCACCTGAGAGTCACCTATGAAGGCTTCTACAGCCGCCCCTATGAACAGCAGCCCCTATGAACAGCAGCCCCTCCCCTAGCCCCTCCCCTCCCCTGCACCAGGCCCTTAACATGTAGCAACTTGTATCTCTGCTCCCTTTCTGATTTGTTGTCTCCACCCCATGGATAGAAGATTCTAGAAGACAGGGATGTCTGTTTCCATGCTCCAGGAAAGTCCCACACTTCAGGGCCCATGGGTGGCTTTCCCTGTGGATGGAAAGCCTAATGTGCACCCCTCTCTGCCTCAGCTCCCTGTTCCTCACTGGCCACCCTGAAGGTCCTAAGGGTGGTCCAGCAGCCAAAGGCCCTGAAACATAGCCTGGGTAGAGTCCATGCTCTCTGATCTGCCCATATTCAGACTTACTCCCATCCCTGAACCAATGGAAACATTTAAGGCTCTGATTGACTAGATGTGGCTCCCATGTCCACCTCTAGCTGAATGAAACTTGGACCTCATTCAGCTCAGAGGAAAGCAGCCTGGCTGGGACCAACCAAAGGAGCCCAAGCATAGGCAGGCACATAAGCAGAGGTGATAGTGGGAAGTCGGGGAATCTGGGTGGCACTCTTTAGGCCTCAAAGGCTAGGTGGCATCAGTGAGATGTATCACAGTTTAGGGCCTGATACCTTGCTGACTGGCACTGTGGAGAGAAAAAAGGGTGTGCTGAGGAGGGGATATCTGAACCCACTTCTGAGTCTATCACTGACTGTGGGTGCCCCACAGGGGGGTGGGGGGCACAGAGTACTTGATGACAGAGTCTTGGCACTGGATGCTCCTGATGTCCTGCTCAGCTGGACTGGGCCCCAATCTACCCAGGATTGGACCTTTGGGTAGAGCATGCCTTTGACAGGTATGGGACCGCCCTGAGTCCCACTTGCTCTAGAGACTTCTTCTGCCCAGGTCATTTCTCGACTGTGTCCATCTCAGTGTCCATCCCCTGCCTCTTTAAGGACTCCCACTTACTCACTGCTAGCCTCATGAGACATGTCATTTCTCTATTGCTAACTCCCTCTCATCCTGGCCTCAGAGTTGACCTTTGCCTTGCTGAGCCAAGGGACAAGGACTAGTGACGGGAGAAGAGAAGCGAGTGTGCAGTCACACCAATCTCAGCATCTAGTTTCACACCTTCACCAGGAGGATCCCAAGTTTGAGGCCCCTCACTGAAAGAATTTGAGGCTAGCCTGAGCTACACAGCAAGATTTTATCTTTTTTTAAAAAAATGAAGTAGAAGTTAAGTGGAGGAGGAAGAATCTCACATTTGTCAGGGTGCTTAGTAAAGATGTGAAGAAATGAAGCCCTAGATGGAACTGTGAGGTGCAAGATGGAGCAGCTGTATCAACTTCAAAAATGCCAACTATAGCGTAAGGTGCTATGACACTTGCTTGTCATGTCAGTACTTAGGAAGCTGAGGCAGAAGGATCATGAGTACAAGACCTGCCTGGGACATACAGAGACTGTATCTCCAGGAGGAAAAATATCTACAGAATGTTCATTTGGCCCAGCACTCATACTTCTCTAAATTTATACCTGAAAAAAAAAAAAAAACCTGAAAGCAGAGACTCTGGAGTCTGGAAAACTTACTGAGACACTATTCATAGTGGCCAAAACTTGACATGTGCCAAGAGTCAGGGATGGCTGGCTGGGTAAGTGGGTGGGTGGATGGATGGATAGATGGATGGATGGATGGAATATGATCCATCCAGACAATGGGATAACACATTAATTACTTTTCTCGATGCTTTGATAAAACACCTGAAAAAAAAAACTTAAAAGAAGGAATTCTTCATTTTCGTCCATGTCATCTGAGAGCTCAGTCCATGGGCGCTCAGCCCCGTGAATTCAGAATATCATGAATATCATGGCAGAAGGAGTGTGTGGCTGGGGCTGTTTTTCACGACTTGGTGGATAAGCAGAAAGGGGTGGTAAACCAGAAGAAAAAGGCATGTACTAATCTTCTAAGATGCTTAGAAATCCAATCAAGATGACCCCTCACAGACAATACTCAGAACCAAAGGGAAATTCCAACCTGTGGAACATCACAGATGAACCTGGAAGACATTACCCTGAGTGAGTTTCCATCCAGGAAAAGGGAGGTAGTAAAGATTAGGATGGCTGTGCTTACTGCCACTGGCTCGCGCTTAATTAAAATTAACTATGATGGCAAACTGCACTTGTAATGTAATATAAACTGCACTTGACCTTAATTTGAAAAATAAAATAAAATAAAATAAAATAAGGAGCTGAGGGAGGGGAAAGGCTCCCCGGGTAAGTAAGGCACTTGCTGAACAAGCATAGGGACCTCAGTTCGAATCCCTGCTGCTGGTGGACACAATAGCACAGATCTGTAATCTGAACACTCTTACAGGAGAAGAGAGGCTGAAACAGAATTCCTGTGAGCTCGCCTGACACACAGCAGTGAGCCTTCTCAAGGTGGAAGATGAGAGATGAGGATTGGTACCCTGTGGTTGTCTGACCACATACACATTGTAGCATACTCACAACCACGTGCACACAGATACACAGACACACAGACACAGACACACACACACACACACACACACACACACACACACACACCATCATCCCCACCACCACCATATGCATAATCTATTTATTAAGCAAATAAGTAAAAACAAAGTAAAACCAGAAAAGAGGGCAATCGGGACTGTGAAAGAGTATACTGGTGTCTGGGTGACCCTCGGGGAGCACACAGGCACTGCCTTCTCTTTCTGAGGAGCCTCTGTCCCCCTGGGGGCCACAGCAGATAGAGAGAGTGGCACTACGGCTGCCATCACCGGGATACTGGAATGTGGAGAGTCTGAGGAAGAGGTAGTGTGAGCTTCTGCCTGGTCAAGGGGACTGCCCTATGGCGGGTGTCTCCTCTTCACTGCTTTTGAGGACGAATGTGAACTTCAAAGGGCACACTGCCGTTGGGGAGTTCTGGACTTGGGGAGCAAGAGCTGTAGGGATCTCCAGAGATCGTGGTTTTCTCCTGGAATCAGGCAGAGATTCCCAACAGCGCTTCGTGGGTTTCCTTCTGAAGCCCTGCTGTGGCCACGAGGACAAATCAGCCGTGAAGAAGAAGCTGTCCCCATGGGCCCAAGGTGCTCCAAGACTAGAAGATTCCAGAGCGTCCCAAAATGAACAAAATACCCTCTCACCCCCTTCCCTTCTGAAAGCCATCGTCTCTCTGTGGGCATGATCAGTGACTGATATAGACGATGTTGCTTCCTTTTAACGGCAGCTGTAGATGAGAGCTCAGCCAGCTGGCTCTTAAGTTGGCACCATCAGGATAAAATGGAATTTTATCCTCTGACACTTGGTTTTGCAAATCTGCCCTGAAACAGTGCTGATCTACCAGACAGCCCTATGGCACAGTATTCCCACACAATCAGGGTCCAGAACTCCCAGCAACCAGGCCAGGGACGGCAAGGAGCAGTCAGATGGTCAAGGAGCCAGGCCAGCCTGGGCTTCATGGAGCTGCATGACCCAGCTTCCTATTTGTGTTCAGTAGCACACTGGACACTGGGGGCCCTCATAGGTATGCTGCAGCTGGCAAACACCAGGTCATTTTCACAGGTCAGAGAGTCTCAGACTTGGCCTGCTCCAAAAGCATGCTTGGCCTCTCACTGTGGTGGTTTGCATGAGAATGACCCCACAGCACTTGGATATTTTAAAGGCTTGGTTCCCAGTTGGTAGAACTATCTGGGAAAGTTTAAGAGGTATAGCCTTTGTTGAAGGAGGTTATGTCACTGAGGCTGGGCTTTGAGGTTTCAAAATCCCAGGCTCTTCCCGGTTAGCTCGTACTCTCTGCCTCACCCTTGTGGCTCAGATGCAAGCTCTCAGCTCCTGCTCCAGCACCATGCCTGCCTGCCCGCTGCCATGCTTCCCACCATGATGGCCATGGACTCTCTTAACTTCCTGGAACTGTGAGCCCCCTAATTAAATGCTTTCTTTTATAAGCAGGACCTAGTGATGAATGTGCTCTGCTGTGCCCTTGTGCCCAGCACAGCTCTCCTCACCCTGGGCCTTAGCAGGAGGCAGGCTCCAGGGCTGGCAGAACCCGGGGTAACACCCCAAGAGCAGGAGGAAACTCAGGTGGCATTTGCAAGTCTGGATAGAGCCTGGCCTCTCTACCTGGTTGCAGCACGTCACTGGAGGCACTGAAGAGTCTGCTGTCCACCACGGGACACTGGCATGACTTTGCTCACCTGGAACTGCAGAGTGCCTGGGAGTACTTCACCGCCATCCACACCTATCCACAGGGCGTGGGCCTCCTTGCCAGGTAACAGTGGGGCAAGGGAAGGGCAGGCTGAGCATATGGACCATAGTGATCCATACCACTGAGCTTCGTGGATCACTTGAGGCCACACAGGGCAGCACCCCTTGGACCTACTGTGTGCTGACAGCACTCTGGAGCCCAAGAGGCACATGCCACACACACTCCAAGGCACAGACCACACTCAGAATATACAGGTGCAGATTCCTCCTCCAGCCTCCCCCCCCCCCCACCCCCGGGACCTCAGGAACAAGGGCTAGCTGTTCCTTCTCTGCCTTCCCCGCCCTTGCACAGCCCAGGCCTGGCACATGGGAGAGGAACACACAGAGACACATGCCTGCTCCACCATATTGGGATGTGCCTGGCTACCCAATCTGGCCAGCCTGGGAGGTGGTAGAAGGTATACTCTTGGGCAGGGATTGCAAAAGCAGGCCCTGCCCCCAGGGCCATGGTGCAGAACCGCTGCACACAGATCAAGGCGGTTCTCGGCTTCTTGCTGCCCAGCCTGCAGAGCCCGCAGGAGCGAGAGAGGAAGATAGCCATCCTGCTCCTCATTGAGGTAGGGCAGGGAGGGGGCGGAGGGCCCCACACAGCCTATGTCCTACCCTGTACCTTTCTTGACCCCAGACGAGATGCCTGCCTGACTCACCTTGTGGGGACAACTGCCCCGACTGACTCCTTCCAGCTCTGCAGGTCCTCAGCCTCTCAGGACTGTCAGCCTAAATAGCCTTGGGGACCTGTCTCTCCACCTTTCCCCGCCCACAAGGAGCTAAGCAGAATACGAGCTCAGCGGCTCGGCTCGTATTCAAGTGTGGCATCATCCCGCTCACATGTAGCTCGGGGCTCCACCCACTCCCACCCTAGAACCCTTAGCTACAAAGGTAATGGTTGGAAATGTGGCCACTTCACCACTGAGGGCTCTGGCAGAGGCAGAGCTTTGAAGGAGAGGTCATTTCTGTAACTGGTACCAGCGACCTGGTCTCTAAGCCAAGCAAGGGATCTTCCTCCACCCTCCACCAGAAGGATTTGTGAGCTTCTCTTCCGGGGACCCTGTTTCCATATGTCCCACAAGCCCACCATGGGTGTGAGTTGGCTCCAGACTAGCTAAATAACCTCTCTGGGCCTTAGTTTCACCAGCCATACATAGAAGGGTTTAAGCATCAAAAAGTTGCAAATGCTTGCTAACCCTGGTACCCTGGGGATGCTGGTCAACCATCCTTTCCTAAGCCCTGCACAGAGACCCAAGCCTCACAGCCCCCAACAAAGACATAGGCTGCTCAAGAGGGTGCCAAGCCTGAGTCACCTGCTCTCCGGGGCTCCCAGTTCCTATATAGCCCTGCCTTGTTGGAGGTGCTTTCTAAACAGGCTGCCCTGACTATACTGGCTCAAAGTCTCCAGGACACCAGCTCTGAGATCCGTGTGGCCAGTCTGCAGGGCCTTGGAAACATACTCTTCCACCCGGAGAAGGTGAGGGCCAGAGGGCCAGGCATCAAGGGTGGGCAAGGTCCAATGGGTTGGAAGCCTAGCTCTGTCACCTGGGACAGTGACTTTCCCTCTCTGGGCCTCACCTTCCTCACCTTCAGAAACGGACCTATTTTAGGAGAGGACCCTCCTGTTTCCCAGGAACTTGGCTCCTTACTGTGAGGAGGGACAAGCTCTCCTGCACAGCTCCAGAGGCCCACTGAGGAGCCAGCACCCTTTACCTGGCACAGAGAGAGAGAGTTCCCCTTGAGAATCACGTGTCCCTTGCCCTTAAATTCTCCATTCCCAACTAAGTTTCCTAGGCCATCACCATAGCACATGCTGTATGGACAGTTGTGTTGAGAAAGATTGCAATGCTGCCTTTGGAGGACCTGCCCTTCCCTCACTCTGGTCCCCCAGTTCAGGCCCTAAGGTTCCTGACACCTTCCTTACTGTAGGCACCATGTAATGAGCAAGGCCTGAAACCCTGGATAACCCCCTTCCCAAACTCTAGTGAGAATGCCTGTTCAGTACTCAGCAGTCACATCTGTAAAATGGGATGGAAATTGGACCTGCTTTGTGTGATAGGCAGGTCATGAGACTAGTGATGGTCGTAATCATCATGCTGGTCATGGTCAGCCCTCAAGCCACTGCCATCTGAAGCAGCAGCAGTACCCTCTTAGGGCCAGGATGCTGTGGGCCAGTCAGTGGACTCCATCTGATAAAGATATTGAGAAAGGTAGACGTGTTCTTACTAGCACAGAAGTGTCTACTCATCTACCCTAGGCAGTGAGAGATGTGCAGCCCATTCTGTTGCTGCTGTAGGAGACTGCTGTCAACCTCAGGACTTTCAGAGAAACTGTGGTCATGGGAATGCCACAGAAATTACATCCTAAAGAGGCCCCCAAACCTCCTTGACCAATGGTCCAACCATTAGTCACCATGAACACCAAAGCCCTTTGGCACTGCATGTAGCAAGAAGAGGCTTAGTAACTGGGATGTGGGGGGAGGCAATGTAGCACTCACTCATGGACCCACCCACCTAGCCACCTGCCTTTCCATCCATCCATCCATCCATCCATCCATCCATCCATCCATCCATCCATCCATCCATCTGTCCATGCATGGAGCCATCAATCTACCCATACACCTACCTCCCCCCATCCATTACCCACCCGTCCCTCCATCTCTTCACTAACCCACCCAGACACTCATCTGCCCACACATCCATCTATTGCCTACCTGCCCGTCTACCCACCCTCCAGCTCATGTGCCTATCCATCTGCTGAACCAACCATCCATTCATTTTTCCATGCCTGGATCCATCCATCTACCCATACACTTATCCCTCCCCATCCATTATCCACCCATTCCTACATTTATTCCCTAACCCATCCATACACTCGTCTGCCCATCTATCTGCCCACCCATCCATCTACCCGTCCATCCATTCTATGCACCAAGCCACCCACCCACCCATCCATTTGTCCCTAGGGCCCTTTTGTCTGGCTTGTCCTTCCTTCACATGCTCATTCTGTTCACTCAGCCACTTACTCGGTTATACACAGTCCCTCATGCCTCCATTCACTCATTCAGTGCTCTGTCCTTTCTCCCTTGCTCCAGCTGTTCTCCCAGACCCAAAATCAGCAGACAGGCTGATTTCGCCCTGTACCCTTTCTGTGCCCTGCACCGAGGAGGACTCTATAGGGAATGAAAGAGGCAGACAAGGGCACTTACTAAACCAGGAGGACTGGGTCAAGGAAAGGGAACAGGTCCTCGCCCCAAATCATGGTGTGGGAAGCAGTCACAGCAAGACCAGAAGGAGAGGGTAGGTTCACAAACATTCCCAGTCAGGCTTGCTGGAGTCAAGGAAGGAAGGAAGGACTGGCCAGAGTGGGACAGAGCAAGCCGCCTGCTTCCAACCAGCAGGCATACCATGCTGTGCGTGCCCAGTTTCTCTCTTGGCTCTTTCTATCAGAAACCCTATCCTACCAGACTAGACCCCAGATCCCAGCACACTGACTACACCCAAAAATGCCCAGGTGTATGCTGCCATCAAACAACTCTGAAAGTGAATTTAACATTTCTAACCAAACAGATCTTAAAGAGACAAAGTTTACTTAAAATTTATTTAGAAGTTGGGAGGAAAAAAGTCTGATAAAAGTCCCAAAGGTAGGGATGTCCTGGTACTCTCTGACCATTGATCTAGAGTTCAGGACAGACAGCCAAAAAAAAAAAAAAAAAAGTATAAAAGGGCCCCCAATGGTCCTACTTCAGTAAATGCAAACTGACCTTTCCTGGTCCAGCTAGTCCCACCTGACCTGAGGGGAGCCAGATATGAGAGGGTAGGTAGCCCATGTGTGAGGTTCAGAGGAAGGGAAAAGTGGCCCCAGGCCCAAGAATGACAAGGAGCTGGGACTCAAGGGCAAGACGGAGGCAGAAACTGAAGCCAGGTGAAGGCACAGGCCTGGGCCTTCCACCCACTGTCCACTGCTTTCCCTACAGGGCGCCCTTCTCCAGGGTCAACTGTCAGCCTTCCTCGATGGCTTCTTCCAACACAGTGAGACAGTAGTGGTGGGCATGATGGGCATGGTGTCGGATGTACTGCACCGCCTGGGCACACAGGGCACAGGTGCCCAGAGCCTCAGCATCGCTACCAACGCCAGCTGTTTCTTTGATAACGTGAGCATAGAGACAGGCATGACTGGGCATGCTCCCCTGGGCCCACCCCACACTTCCCTGTGCCTCAGGACCCCTTCTGCCCTCTTCCTGCACCTGACACCAAACCCAAAGGAACTGCCAAGCTGTGAGTCCTCAGGTGCACCAGATCTGGCCAAGTGACCACCAGGTAGTTCTCAGCCCCTCCTCACGGCTGAAGAGTGCCAAGACTCACTTGTTCAACCCCTCTGTGTCCTGGCCTACTACACATCACTCATAGGCAGTGTCCAAAATGACTGCCCCCTCCCAATGAGGAAACGGAGACCAAGTCACCCAGCTGCCTTCATGGTCCTGGCTGTCAGGGTAACAGTGGGTACCAGAGTATGGCCTGAGGCCTTGTCTGAAGGAAGGCCTGACCCTCTTCTGAATCCAAGGGAGGAGAGACAACCTTACCCTGGGTCCCTAAGCCTGACTGGGAAGCACTGGAACCTCTCTAAGTCCCTGCCTCATAGGAGCAGGACAATATTCGAGCAGCCGCTATAGCACTGTTTGGGGATCTGGTAGCAACGATGACAGACAGGGAGTTGAACGGCCTGCGGTCCCAAGTATGCCAGAGTATGGTGCCTTTGCTCCTGCACCTGAAGGACCAGTGTCCAGCTGTTGTCATGGTCAGTGTCAACCTACAAGCCTTTCATCTTGGGCAAAGGGACAGGGCAGCCAGCCTGGTTGCCTGAGGGTAGAACAGAGGGTAGTGGCAGGAGAGGCTGGCACCCACAGGCCTCCCCAGATCCCTGTCCTCTTCCCATGCACTCCCTCCCATATGTGGCCAGCCACAGCTGTGGGATCTACCCGCCATAGCAGAGCATGGTAGGACACGGACCCACAGCGTACCTGATGATACACAGACAGTGCCCTCCTTATTGCACTCCTCCACTCTCTGGACTCCCTGTCACAGGGGGAGGGGACAAAAGCAGCCAGCTCCCCAACAAACTAAGACAGAGCTAGGTACCTCCCTACCTTCCACAGGGCACTATGAGCCTTGGGTTGGGGCAGCTTCCCAGACACCACCACACCTGGCAGCTGAGACGCTCACTGCAGCTGCGGTCTTGGGAGTGAAAACCCCGGGCAGTGGGTGACCCCCTCCTCCGGCTGTCTCCGCAGCAGGCCAAGTTCACTTTCTACCGCTGTGCTGTGTTGCTCCGTTGGCAGCCACGGCACACCCTGTTCTGCTCGCTGGCCTGGGAGACGGGCCTCAGCGCCCGCCACTTCCTCTGGACCTGCCTGGTGAGGGACAAGGGTGCAGGGTCAAGTAGTGGGGGCCTGAGGTAGCTGCACCGCCCCCACACACACACACGGACTGTCCTTACCGGGGAAGTGAGGCTGGCAGCGGGAGGGGTCAACAGTCTCCGAGGGCCCTGGCAGTGACAGACAAGCTCTCCCCTGGCCAGATGACCCAGAGCCAGGAGGAGTTCAGCATCCACCTGTCGCAGGCCATCAACTACCTGCACAGCCACCAGCACCGCATCAAGACCTGGGCAGCTCTTTTTATAGGTGGGCAACATGGGCCAGTCTTGGAATCCTCGTTCACCCTGCCCACCCATAAAGCAGGTGGGGAGGAGGGCCTGGGGCTGAGCAGCCTCCACCCAATAGCCATGGCTCTCCTTCCATCTTTCACAGGGTACACCGCCTGCTACCAACCCCAGGCCATGTCACAGATGATAAATGACATGGACACCGAGCTGCTATTCTCCAGTAAGTGGCCCACACCCTCGGCCTGTCTCCATACCTGCCATCTTTCTGAAGCATGCCACCTCAGATGGTGGCACAGACAGGAACCCAGACCCCCTGAGTAGACCCCACCCCACCAGGGCACTCCACGCTGGCCAATGGATGAAAAGCACCCTCTTAGACTCCTACCCATATAGAACTGGAGTGGGGGTTGGGGCGTTGCTCCTAGGCCAGGATAACCTCTGACTTGTCCTTTCTCTCCTGCAGCTTTTAAAGACCTCAAAAAAGACCCAGAACCCAGCATCCGGGAATTTGCCACCAGACAGCTGCCATTACTTCAGGAGGTGTCAAGCAGACCCAAGAAGTGACTTGGAGCCATCCTCCCCATCTCTACCCTCAGAACAGCCCTGTCCCTACCCTGTCCACAGAGCTTGATTCTATAACATTTTTCCATTTGAAAGAAAAATCTAGACTCAAAAAGTTGGAGTAGCCGCCAGCTTCCTGCCCGCCACCTGGAAGCCCTCTTCCGTGGCCAAAGCCAAGTCCTTAGAAGATACTAGGAAGGCTCGGGGTCACAGACGGGAACAGACAAGGATGGGCAGGGCAGAGACAAACTGCAAGATCTGTGGTAGACTCTGCTAATGACAGCTCAGGGATGGGAAAACTGCACATGATCAAAGCCCAGGCCATAATATGCACAGCTGAGCAGGCCATTCAGTGGGAGTGGGGCCTGAGAGGAAAGTCTGCAGCATCCCTAGGTGAGAGGTTTGCAGGGGCTGTGGAGCAGGTGGATGTGAAAGGCAGCCTAGCAGGCCTCTCTACCCCAGGGCAGGCTCTTCCTCCAGGGCAGGGCCCATCAGCCAGCCCCAGACAAAGCTCCATGGTAGGCCCCTCAAGTTTGCAAGAGTCCAGAAGAGGGGCCTGAGACTCCCTGAGGTTACCCTCCCCCAATCCCTTCTCAGGCAGAACCCTTCCCCCTCAGTCTCAGTCCCTAAGGGTAGAGTTTAGGGGACCTCACCACAGCCTGTCTCCTTTCCTCAGCTAAGGGAAGAGCCAGCCCACTGCTCAGAACTTGTGAGCAGGACAATGAGGCCCCAAACAGGCCCATGTCACCCAAGCATACCCTTTACCCCACCCTGCTGCCCTGACCCTGTCCTCCTCCTCCTCTGAGCAATAGAGGTCATTTCCTAGGCCAGTGGCCACTGTGGCCAAATCTCAGCCCACCACCCCTCACTGGTTGCATGGGGGCAAAGGGTGGACACCATTGAAAGTTCCAAGTGGCCCCCACTCTGTCCCTCAGAGGTAACACAGCCTCACCTTCTAATGTTCCAATCCCCAAACTGTGACCAGTCCAAGCTGCTGATGCTCAGCGCTGATGTGTCAAGAATTTGTAAAAACAAGGCAGGGTGCAGAGCATTACATGGCCACCAGAGGGTGCCAGAGAGGCAGGCAGCAGGAGGACGGACACAGGACAGCAGAGAGATGGGGACCACAGCTTCCCAGGATCCGCACCCCACTCCTCAGCTTTGCACCACTCTTCACACACATCCACAGCTCCTGATTTATTGCCTTGAGAGTCCAGAGCACCCGGTAACAAAGGTGCCGAAAAAAGGTGAGGGTGAGGGCGGCGCCGCTGAGGCACTGGGCCCAGTGGTTAAAAACACCCACCTGCAATCCACAGGCCAGGGAGCAGGCCTGGTCAGGGGGGTGGAGGGGTGGGACAGGACTGGCAGGAGGTTCAGGGACAGCCTCAAAAAGACAGCCGTGGGCACAGACAGGGACAGAGCAGGAACGCACACAGCCATTGGACTCCTCAGACGCAGATGCAATGAGGCACAGGAGTAAAGGGTACACAGGGCCAGGACCTGTGCTACATGACGCAGCACCTGGTCTTGTGCGTGTGTGGGTCTTTGAACCGCAGTCTCTGCTTAGGCCGGTACTTCTCCAGGTAGGTAAGCTGCTTGCTGTTGATGGCCCCACGGCGCTTCCTGAAGACAAGGACAGGATGGGGGGGGGGGGGGGGTCATAAACCCTGGCTTTGGGCACCTTGCCTGCTCCAGGGAGCTCCAGACTCTTCGGGCCAGTAGGACTGAAGCAGGCCCTTTCTTGTCCTTATCTGTGCGACCTTGAGTGGACAGACTCAGAGGAGGCAGGCTAAACGGGGGCTCTGGGAGAAAGCTGGGTGGCCTGGGCTTCGTGCAGGCTAGGGAGCACAGCTCATCCTAGCCAGCTGGCACCTCCTCGGTGCTGTGCCAAGGTACAGAGAACCTCGAGAGTGTGTTTGGTGTAGTTCTTCAGGTTGTATACTAGTCTTCATATCCCAAGCTCCCCTAAGGACACCCGCAGGCCAGTGGGCCCACGTTACTACGGCCGTACAGGGCCTGCCCCAGGGAGAAAAGACATGGCTGTGCCTATTTCAGGTAGCACAAAGGTGTCCACCTATCCACAGTGGATATGTCACATACTTGCACACACATGTGCCTCAGGCTAGGGGTGCAGCGTCAACTTGGAAGTTCCTGCCCAGATGATCAGGAAGATGGGGGCTCCTCCAGGGAGGCCACCATACCCCAAGGAAATACTGGCCCTGGGAACATAAAGGGGGGACTTCACAAGGAACAGCTACAGAAGTGAAAGGTGAGGGGCAAGGAGAGGCCGTGGTGACAGCCCGGGCCCCGCCCAGCTGTCAGGACCCACCACAGATCCCCAAGTGCCACCCACCCGCCCGCGCACACAGGCTACTCACTGCCGGATGAACTGGATGGCATCCTCATACTTCATCCCGCTCTCGATGAGGGCGAGCGCCACGAGCACGGGAGCCCTGCGGGAACAAGCACAGCTGAGGTCGGCTGAGACCCGGCACCCCTTCTCACCCCTGCCTCATGCCACCTGACAGAGACACAGGGCATGAGGGATGGACTACTGCCCCAGGCCCGTCCCCGATTCCCTCAGCTGCCCGTGGAAGGCGCAGACTCTAGACGGCTGTCTGCTCTAGTCCGCTCCTCCCGCCCCTCCTGTGCAACATGAGGGGATACAGACCACCTCTCTGAGTCTAAGCACCTAGAAAAAGAGCTATGAGCATACTGGCTATTGAGTCCAGCCTCCATCTCCCCTGCAATAGGGGTGTGTGCATGGGGCAGGGAGGGGTGCTTCCCTGACTGGCCAGCATGTTTTTGAGGCAGCTCTTTTCTTCATGAGGCGCAATGACTGGATCATAGCAGGAAGCCCTCCCTGCCAGGCTGTGAAGGACCTTGCCTGGGAACCCCTGGGGCCTTACACATAGTGGATGTGGCCCACATTCAAATGCACGAAGCAAAACAGTTAGGCCATGGAAGCACAAGCTGAGGTCCCAGCAGCGGGCAGTGAGCCCCACCTGTCACTCACCTTCCCAGACCCGCCACGCAGTGCACAGCTACGCAGCTGCCTGGGTCATTGTAGAACTTGGCCTTCAGCAGACTCAGCCAGTCCTCCACCACCTTTCCAGGAGGGGGCGCTCCGTCATCAAAGGGCCAGTCCTGAAGAGGAAGAGGCTTGAGAGCCTGCCCTCCCGATGTTAGCTTTCCTTCCCCTGTCCCTTAGAGTTCTAGGTGGGAGGGTGAGGCTAGCCCACATGGAGAAGGCTCCAGCCCAGGGTGAACCGGGGCGCGGTGTGGGGAAGAGAGGGATGGAACCCATCTACCGGCCCAGACTTGGACCTGTTGGTACCAACAGGTGAACTAACATAGGTCTGCAGGAGCTAAATGATGGAGGGCGGCTCTTGGGGTCTCTGTACCTCCAAACAGAGCAGCTCCTGGAGGCCACCAGTTTACACGGGTGGCCTGAGTCTGACCCAAGTCCCTCCTGTGGCTGAGGAAGGGAGATCTGTTAACCTTGCACTAAGGGATGCTGACACACCTTCGTCTCATGCTCACCCCCCTCCCCCAAACATCCACACTATGGGTGGCTCGAGGCTCAGAATGGCCTTTGAGATCTCACAGCAGGGAAGAGTCACATAGGATTCCTCCCAGGCCTGGGAGACCCAAAGTTCTTCCTTCCTCTGCCAACTGCCAGGGAGTGGATATGAGACCCCATCGACACAGGGCCCTCACGAGGGAGGCAACCTAGGGTCACTCTGCTGCTGAGGACAGGGCACTGGGACCTCAGCACAGTCAGTCAGGGTCTGCCGCCCGAGGCCTGACTCATCCAGGCTCTGCATGGAGAAGAGAGGCCTTGTTCCAGGACACTGCAATAGGCCAGATTAGAGGTGGCCTCTATGGCTGGCTCTCCTCTGACCCTCCAAGCACCATGCCCACTTCCTTTATGCCCCTCCTCCCCTTAGCTGAGGCCCCAGGGTTGAGAAGCCAAGGAAACAGCAGCTAGGATCCCTACCCATGGCCTCTGCACAGGTTCTCCTAGGACCCACTGCTGCCAGGAGACAGGCTCCCATGGGCAAGCAATGAGAGGCTGAAGGGGGGCCCCTGGGAGCCACAGAGGAGCCAGGCAGGCACCTGCTAAGCCCCACCTCATCTATACGAAAGGGTCTCCATGGGCTGTCATGGTCTCTAGGGCTGTCAGGGCTCAAGCCTCAACCCATACTGCCAAATACACCCAGTAGGTGGAAAATCAACACAACTCAGGGAATGCCTGCCTCTCTCCGGGTGAGCCCTTCCACCTCTTGCCGTGGTCTCAGAGAATGTCTGACTCCAAGACTCAGTTGTTCCAAAAAGGAAACACAAGAGGCTACAGGATGCCAATGGACTTGGAGCGCCTGGTAGGACCCACAGGCCCCAATCCAGACAAGCCAAGTGCTGGGATGCTATGACCAACAGCATCAAGCATGCGCCACCTCACCTCAGGGCGAGGCTGGGTAATGGGTGCAGTCGGAGGTGACTTCTTCAGAGTCATCTGTTCCACATACCAGAACAGACACAGATAGCCCAGGATGGATCTGGCGGCAGAGAGGCCTCAAATTCACAGTGAAGGGCCCCAAATCTACTGCCCAGCCCCTGCTTGTGGCAGCCACAAGTGCCCAGAGCCACACACGCCCCTCACCACAACAGTGATGCCATCCTTCTCCAGAGGTGTCTTGTCATAGGTCACTTCGCACACACGCACCACAGTGGTAGCCCCGTACTTCTTCAGGTCCTGGGGTGGAGAGAGGGAAAGGCCGGGAAATTCAGAAGCCAGAGCTGGCTCCAGAGCCCAGAGCTCTGCCCATGCTGAGTCCCCACAGGCCTGTCCCTCTGGAACTCCTAAACAGAGCTGTGTCCCCTCAAGCTGCCTCCCCTGAGACAAGTGGACTCCATAAATCAGCAGGTGGGCTTGGATGCTTAGTGACTAGCAGGGTAGCCTCTGCTGGTGCTTCCGGGTCACCTGTCCCACCTGGAGAATCGAAGGAGCCCACCCTCGTTCACTAAAGCGCCCAGCTCAACCTCTGTGATTCAACCCCCT